TTCGAAGATCTTCAAGAAGGCAACAATTTGTTATTAAAGTAAGTTCCTGGCGGTTTTATAACCGGCAAGAAGAAGTCCTCGATCAAAAATCGCCAAAAGTTATTGATCGCTTCGTCTTCAATTATCTTGCCGTTGATAACGCGGGTGAAACAGCAGATAACAAGCACTCAGGCAGCATAATTTTTCGTTTACTACTGGCGAGTAAAACCGACAAGATGTTGTGAAATAATGCTTTTCAGAACCAGTCAGTAAAACTCATCTGCTGACAGGCCTTTTCCTTCATGCGGTTCTTTAACTGTTTTTCTCTATTCTCCTTTGAAGCTGAAATTGATGCCTTCCAACGATGAATTCCCGTAGAGAAATCTCAACACGCTTCACTATAAACGACATATGTTTAGTTGTGAATGGTAAACACTCAAGTTACTGAATGACATGTAGGTGACCAATAAAAACACGGTGTTTAGATCTTGTCAAATTTTAACCAATCAGGATTTTAACATTGGCCTTTTCCTTCATACGGTTCTTTAACTGTTTTTCTCTATTCTCCTTTGAAGCTGAAATTGATGCCTTCCAACGATGAATTCCCGTAGAGAAATCTCAACTCGCTTCACTATAAACGACATTTGTTTGGTTGTGAATGGTAACACTCAAGTTACTGAATGACATGTAGGTGACCAATTAGAACACGCTATTTAGATCTTATCAAATTTTGACCGATCAGGATTTTAACATTGGCCTGGTAGATGTTAAAAACGAGAAAAACAATGGCTTCCTGGCAGGCGTTTCCCTCCCTCCTTCCTCGCGCGCCCCTCGCGTTTCTCTCTGACCCGTAAAACTCCCTTTCCCTTCCCTTTCAAACGCCTGCCACGCAGGCTAGGGTCTCTGAGGATGCGTTGAGAATGATAGACTGTCTGTGTGTCGTCTGCGTGTGGGAACCTGATGCTAGTTACTTGATAAACAGAGTAAATTTCGATCCATCCTGTCTTTAAGAGTTTTGATTGAGAGGGATGGGAAATAGGCTCTTGCACTATAGATCGTTTTCACTGTCACGCAACAAAAAAATAAATTGGAAACCGTCAAGTGGAAGAAGCCAAGAAAATGAAATGTTATAAAAGACTAATATATAAACAATTTGTCCCAGTCTCAGGTCTTTGTGGCCCACAGTTTCTGAGTTATTTGCCGAAACGTTTCACGCATCTTTGTAGAGCTTTGTATGGAGGGGCCATATTGGTGTACCGTTTTGGTGCACCAATATGGCCGCCGGAAATCAACAAAAACATCTGGAGTTCACTTTTTCTATAAAAGTTCTTTCTTTTCACTCGAGAACCAGCATACGTGCGCATAAACATATCTTCTAATACTTGAAACGGTTATACTGCTGAAAATCAAGAGGAGAGACTTTTTTTCAACAAGACAACATTCCTATTTTGGTGTCACGCACTGTGAAAACTCGGAAGTTCAAATTGCTGTATTTCGAAATGAAACGTGCTACGGGAATGGAAACTTGTTCAAAGATTTACTTTTTGTTTAGTTTCAACCCGGTGTAAATAAGAATTCGTCAAACTTTTGACTTTACGATTTGATGACGTCACTGTGAAAACCATCTGTTGGCTGGTGTTCTGGACCCCAGGCTCCCAAACAAATTAGTTCACTAACACCGTGACAAAAGGAGTGGATACCAATTACACTTTCACCTAAAACTTGGGTAAGTATCTCATGTAAGACTCCATATTATGTCCCCAATATATATACCGTATTTATTCGAATAAGCGCCCAACCTCGAATTAGCGCCCACCTCGAATAAGCGCTCATCCTAAGGGCAGAAAAAGTTAATAAGTGCCCAGCCTCGAATAAGCGCCCACCCCCACCTCCACCCCTCCCTCTCCCAATAAAACTCAGTTAAGCGCCCACCCCCACCCCACCTACTTGAGTGACAATGAGATTGAAATTGAAATTGAATAAGTACTAATAAGAGACTTCCCCGAGGAATAAGTTTTCTTCGGAGTATTTTACAGAAACCTTGCTTTGTTACTCTTCGCGTTTTTTTATTAGCATTTATTGTCCCAGCCACTGCCCCAGTGTTTATATATTGCCTAATTTCATACTAAGCGGGGGCCTGGCACTACCGGATTTTCCCGGACTTAGTAAAAAGTCCAGTTTCAAAATGGCGGATAGTCAGAGGATAGTCAGAGTAAAAACTCGAACGAAAGCATTCTTTTTCGAAGAAATATTGATCAATATTCCCTCGGAGAATCTGCCTAAACTTAGTAAGGGAAGGATGCAGTATTTCTCATGCCCTGAAGTTAAACTTAAGGAGCCGACACTCAACCGCAAGTGCAAGCAATTGTTCAATGAACAGGTCACTCGAACCAAAGATGGCCATAAATTTTGGACAGCAAAGGATCCTCTGTTTAATTCTACCGGCTTCTGTATGGTAGAGGATCATTGTAGGCAAGAACACAGATGTGATTGTCTATGTACCGATCGTAGCCTAAGTATGCTGGAGCAAAGACTTAAAAGGGCAGTACAGAAGGCTTACCTGGATTATTCCCGTCGCGGAAAAAAGAAATGTTCTTTAAATCACACGCAGGAAAACAAGGGACTAGTCTATACTCAGTGCGTGTTAGCCAAAAAGGAAGATGTACGTGACATTCTTGATTGAATTACAGGGTGATTACCCTAAATTGTAAACATGCTCCACCGGATGCTCGTAGACCCAATAAGTTCCAAAAAGAGGCAGCTCAACAAGTGAGCCCTTGTAAGCCATTGCCATTTCGCATTTTTTTTTTTTTTTATCTTGAGTAGTGTCTATATAAATTAATAGAACTGCAATGTTACTGGAAGGTACAGGATCAAACGCAGGGGGATCAAAAAATAACTATATACTATATACAATTTATCCCCCGAATAAAAATTACTTCTGTATTATAACATTGCTCAATGCATGAGGTCTGACTGGTCACAGGAACTTCAGTGTTACCTGACGAGAAATGCCTCTCTTTTAAGACTGAAGTATACTTGCTTTTGTCTATGTTCAGTGAGAATTGTCTCTGGTCCGATCTTTAGAATTTTTTACTGAGACCGTACGCAGTACGCAGCGACGGAGAGAAAACCTAATGTGATTCTTGCCGACCTAACACGATGTTGCCTTTTCACTCAACGACTCGGGGTCACTCTGGCGTCTTTTGCTTTTTGTAGTCTTTATTTTACGGTTCGTAAAAACAGGTACACCCACTCTCTTATCATTCCCCAATATTCGGTCAGATCCAGCGCCGTGAAAAAAGCTAAATGCGACGGTTCTTTGTTCAAATTTTTTCTCGAACTATTCGGGAATCTTTCAAATACTTCCAAGTAGCGAAAGTCTGCGATTTGATCTTTCTTTTTTAATCGAAGTTCTTCATAGCAGTAAAACAACTGTTCTTTGCTGTAGAATATTAACTTTCTGGAGTAATCTGGCCCTCAATATCGTTTCAACTGCACGCAATGACCTCTGCTTTACCCTCTGTGTTTGAAGCCATTTTGAATCTGGAATTTAAGAAGCCGGGAAAATCCGGTAGTGCCAGGCTCCCGCGCAGTATGAAATTAGGCAATAGTACTGGGCAGTGGCTCGGGACATTTCGGGCAGTCTTACACCTAGTACTACCCATTTCCTGTGTTTATAAGGAGTTCAAGTATCGAGAGTAACCGCTTCCAAGTTGAAATATTGAGGATGTTCAAAACAAGTCACGTTCTTCTAAATAGCTGCCTCAATTTATTTCGTCAATCCTGTCGTTTTGGACCGGTTTTTACCAATGATTTACAGCCAGTAAATATAACCTGCCTCCGAAGCCTTTGGAAGACAGCTGGGTTCCATCACACAAAACCATTTTCAAGATTGCCATCCTTACCTTACTCTTTGGACATTTCTGATCGAAAACAACAAAATGGTGAGTGTTTTATTAAAGCTTTGTTTTATTAAGCTTTGATTTCTACGGTTCACACCCAGCGTTCCAATCTTTAGTCGGCTGTTTATTTTATCCGGGTTTTGGCTCGTTTTCATAACTCCGGTACAGCCGGTAATTTATTTTTATTTTTTACATTCAGGTCTTTATTCACTGTCAGTTTTTTTGGATACGGATACGTTTACACAGCATTATTATTTTTGAAAACCCAACCTCATTAGTAGCCAAGTCAGCCAATAGATAAACTTAGTTGGAAATGTCCAGGCTTAAATAACAAGTGTTCTTGTTTTGATGCTCTGCCAATCCATAGTACATTTTATAATTTATCGGCACCACCCCAACCCCCTCCCCCTATGAAAGGCACAATTTAAAAAGGCCCTTTTCCATAACGCAGGATTCTGACACCCACTCCCCCCCCTTTCAAAACAATACACAGGACACAGACATTCTGCCCCACCATGCACGAGGATAGATTGTGATATAAGAAAGCTCCATATAAGTTGAAACCATCAGGTTCATTTGTTCTTGTGGGACATTAAGGAACCCACATAATCAACCCACGTTAATGAGACGACACAACAGTTTGGGCAAAATGAGTTTATTGAACAGTGCTAAACAACTGCAAAACTACAACAAAACTAGGACTAGGAAAACTAAGAAAGGTGAAAATTGAAAATACAAAATCGTAAAAATAAGCCTGGTGGGAGAGGTGGGTAAGAGCTTTCCGGATCTTACAAAACATGAGACTCCAGACCACGTGGTCGATTATAAGGGACATTCAATATCTCTTTTACTGGTTAATTAACCATCATTAATAAATGATTTCTCCACTATTCGAGAAAAGTAGGGTTCGTAGACCCCAGTGCTGTGGCCAACCTTTACGGGTTGTGGGATTGGGTAGGGATGGCACCTCGCATGGGACCTGAGTCCCGATCATGCACATTCCCTCAGGGCAGGCCTTTGTCCAGAAAATCTGACCAGTAAATAATAATAAATAAATAAATAAATAATTTCCTTTATTGTTACAAGAAGTTGTTTTTGTTGTTATATATTTTTCTAGGTAGCTGGAAACGATCAAAGTCAAACTCCTCCTACATCACTCCCGGTGGAATAATTTTTCATTTTGATACGCACAAGCTTGTCAAGAGACTACAAGATAATGGTTTTTATAAATATATTTTTCTTTTGTAAAACTTATGTCTTGCTTCTTCATGAAGCAAAAAGGTCATTCTTCTCTGGTAGGTCTTGGGGGGAGCAAAAAGTTGTTTTTGTAACATATTGAAAGTGATAATAATGCATTTGACTGCAATTTAACGGAGTTAACAACCAATAGCGTCTTCATTGCTAGTTTGCTACATCCTTCATGTGATCCAGGGGTGTGTAGAGTTTTCTTTGTGCTGCATTGTTCCTGCGCTATGAGGTTTCTTTCAGCCAATTTTTTCTTCCCCCTTCCCTTCCTGTAGTTCTTTCTTCAGCAGAGAGCTTAAGCAATGATGACAGCCATGGCAATGAGAACAGCAAAAAAGCAGTAGGTTTAGATTGGCAAAGCAACAACTTTGCACATGCATCATGCTTTTTCGTACATTTCTTAGCCGCCATTGCACGACTGCGACTTGAAAATGCCTAATTTCACGTTTTGTACAGGACATGAACACAAGGCAACAACTTTCTTATTCTTTTCCTGAACTTTGATACAGTCCTTTAGAATTTAACTCCAAAAAAAATTGCCAACATTTGACGAATTAAACATCAGATGGAATAAGGGCAATAAAATTTGAGGCAGCATACATTCATTTTTAAGTCATGTTTTTGTAACTGCCGCCATCGTACATTGATGCTTAAGCTATCTAGTGATTTTTTTTCAGTGTGGTGGGTGTTTGTTTTTTTGTGTCCTATTTTTTTTGGGTGGGGGCTCATTGCTGGGTACCTTTATCACAGCAATGGGGGCACTATTCAATCTAGGGGCTGGCTACCAAAAGTGGAATAGCCTCTGGACACTCCAGGCACCCATTTAGCAATATTACAGTTGTTAACAGCAAAATTCCTTTATATTGGTTACTGGGACTAAGGATGAATGAAGGCACTTATAGCCTGTATAAGCTTCTAATAAGCTTCTTAAAATCAGCAACTGAGCATAAAGTCCAATAGGTTTGGGGTAGAGGGGTAGGGGGCTAGGTAAGAGCTCCCTGTCTCCACTACCTTATGCACCATATTGACAGCACCTCTGCCCAGTTCAATCATACATTCATCAAAATATAAGTACAAAAACTTACAGGTTGGTGAACAGTCTTCCTATTACTTAATAATAAGTGGCAAAGAAATATTTTAATTGTTATTTATTTCTATTGATATTTTAGGTTTCAGTGAAGTTCAAGCTGAAAGTTTGACAGCTTCTTTGGTTGACATAATCACATCAAGTGTTCACAGTGTGGCCAACAGCACTGTGTCAAAGATAGATCAGGTGAAAAAAATACAGTTTATGAGCTGAGCTGGTAACCCTTTAAGCTCCAATATCCACATACAAATTCTCCAAACTGATCTTCATACATTTCCTTAAACAATGAATTGATAGAATTTGGTTTAAGTTCAAGGCATTTTCTCTTAGGTTTTTAATTTTCCAGATGGTAACCGGCCACAATTACCAGCCACAGAAATTTTTGCTTGCAGGTTACATCTCCTTTCTGGCCAGTCAAAATATCGGGAACAAAGTTAACTCATCCTTGTGTTTGAAAGGAAACAAAAATCTAAGATTCACCAGTGAGGATTTGGATGTTGATTTATGAATGAGAGTGTATGTGTCTGGTCAACATGACCTGCAAACAAAGTTTTTGGCCAGACAAGTTAATTGCTATTCTGGCTGGACATTGTCAGTTGACTGGCTGTTTTTTTGAGCCCTAATGTCTGTGACAAGTTGGGAGTTTGCCAACAGTTACCAGGGTGCAAAAAAAACATTTTGACAGCTTCCCATTCGGGCAAGCTGAAGCTAGCATTTACTAGCTCAGATGTCATTTCAACTAGCCCTAAAAGCTTTTTGAAAAGCATAATTGATTACACAGTTCTTGTCATTTGAATTCCTCAAAACACAACACTTGCCCGTTGGGCAAGTTAAAAACAGAATTCACTAGCCCAATAGCAAAATCCACTAGCCCCCGGCTATCGTACACTACTTTCTTTTGAGTCAACTGTTAAGACTGAATGTATGTCTTAAGTCTTTTTCTGCCCTTCCAAGCAAAATCCATTCAGTTAACAAAATTGGCTGCAGTAATTATTTCAAGTCTAGAACAAACTTTATTGCATGCATAGACACCTGCTCAATTTCATTTGCAAGAAAGTTTTAATTTTTTCCATTTATTAAATTAATTACTCTCCTTTAAAATTTATCTAATAACTGTGAGAACTGTAGTAAATTAAAACATCATTTATCAAATTCACATTTTTTTTTATCATAAGAATGGACAACTTGTGGCTTGCAATCTTAGTCGGTTGGTGATGCGCAATCACAAATTTCTGTTTAATACAGGTTTTTACATGTAACAATAAAAATGACCATTTCAGTTACTTTTTACGTGTCTATGTATGCTTAATTAAGGTGTCCACTTAAGAGAGATTTTATTTACAGTAAATGAGGTAAGTAATTGCAGGGGGTACTACAGATGTGGCTACTGTCAGCTTCATACAGATTTTACTCGTCTGTAATTTTCCATTTCAACGTTCCCACCTCCTCATATTCATTTTTTACACAGCTGGCTGGCTAGGATTGGCTAGCTGAGTGGAGTAGCCAACATGGGTGTATTTTACCCAGGCAATTTCGATTGACTCTCGTTGTCACTATAAGAAAGTTATTTCTTTAAACCATCTTTTATACCCATCGATATGTAGAAGGACTAGAGCGTTATAATCTATGTGATCTGATATCAACGTATAAGATCCGACTTGGCAGTTTATTACTAGTCAGGAAAAGAAATATTTCAGGCTCTAAAAAGTTGTAGTTCTTGATTTTTCAGAGATTTAATTTTCTTTTTAAAACTTTTCAGGAGAGACTTGAGGTGAAGTTTAATGCTATGGTCGATACAGTAAGGTAAAATCAAAGCAACTGATAATATTTTTAGTACAGCTATATCAGAACTATATAGAGGACTTATTAAGTAAACCCATTTGCCCTTGGAGATTTAGGCTGTAGCTACTCTCGCAGTTTCCCTGTTCAATATCTTGCCAGAAAGAGCCAAAACATTCCGTATGCAAGGCGAGTTCTACGCTGGTTTAAATTACAGCGAAATTTCTGCCCCGAAAGTGCGGGCATATGAGCCAAAGTTAAATTTTGCGTTGTTTCCTTCCCTTTTCTTTTCCTTTATTTCACCTGTTATCTGACTTTTTGAGAATCTTTTTGTTGGAACTTTTTGCAACTGTTTTACTTTGTTATCTATCGATCGGTTTAATCTGGCCCCAGTTGTTCAAAGGGTGGATAGCGCTACCCGCTGGATAAATCACTATTCAGTGGATAACGCAATTGGTTTTCCTATAGGTGATGTCACACGGGACGATTCGCAACGACGATTTTTAGCGCAACACAACGTTGCAACATTGTTGCGACATTGTTTCGAATGGTTACAACATTGTTCCAACATTGCAACGCTGTGTTGCGCTAAAAATCGTCGTTGCGAATCGTCTCGTGTAACATCACCTTAATGCTAATCCGCTACATAGTGTTTCATCCGGTGGATAGCACTATCCAGATTTGGAACAACCGGGGCCAGATTATGGTGAAAGAAGTAAAGGAAAGAAAAATGATAATAACGGTTGATATAAAGTTTACAGACTGACGTACTTGTTGCCTTAAAACTTCTCTTAGGGCCTGTTTACGTGGAGGTGGGGGACCCCAGGTAGGTGAGGTAACTCGCTTAGGTGGGGTAACCCGCCTGTCCATTTAATCTCTCATTTTAATTTGATCACGTTGACATGATAGGTGGGGTGACCCGCCAAGGCGGGTAGCCCGGTCTACCAGACCGGGTTACCCTCTCAGCCGGGGCCAAATTTTGCCATGTAAACGTTTCAAGGTAAAGGTAAGCCGCCTGGCCGGGGTCGGATTCGTGATACATCAAGTTCGCGCAAAATTCACTTTGGCGGTGGCTTTGCATCATTATTACAGTTAACAATAGAAAGCCACATAACTGAAGGTTGCAGCAAAAGCAACAAGAGAGTGTAGAAGTTCATTAATCGCCAAAACTCGTGATTTGCCAGCATTTTTCTTGTTTACGTGCTTAGCGACCATTCAATAATCTTGAGAAAGTGCACCCCGGGATGGCGGGGTTGTAAGATTGCATGTAAAGGAGGGTTATTTTTTACCTCACCTACCTGGGGTCCCCCTCCTCCATGTAAACAGGCCCTTAATTATGGTGAGAAAAGCAAATGACAGAGTTTTGCAAGCAATAACTAAAGGCTGTTCTATTTTTCTCTTTTTATGTTTTCGTGATTTGTTTTCTCTACCTCCAGAAATGAAATGTTTCTCCTTGAACAAGGAAAGTTTTCACGAATTCAAGAGGAAAATCAAGTACGGTAACTATTTTAGATTTGATTAGTTATAAATCAACAAGCTTTTCATAACAATTTATAGACCCCATTCGGCTACTCAGTGCTCAATTCAAATCTCCCAGGGTTAAGATTCTTCGTATACTGTATTTGCATTATATATAATGTGGCAGTCACATTTAAATGATATGGAAATTCCTGAAACAAAACGTTTTATTCCCAAAGTGTTTGAATTGGTTGCAACATTGAGTTAGCCGAATTGGTCTGGGACAGTTGTTTTAAGATTTACTTAACATCTTCACATAATTTCATAAGTTTTAGATGGTTTTCTTTGTAAAAAGTGGGGTAAAAGTGTTTTTACTCTAATATTTACTGATTCATTTGAGTGATCACGTTTTTCAGTATACTCGTGTGAGCAAGAAAGAATTCCGTTTTGGTGTAAAATGCTAAAATTCACATACTAGCATGAGAACGTATGTGTATGTGAAAAACAGGCAGTTTCTCAGCAAACTAAAAACACAAACCCAAAACGTCACTTAGAATTTTTTCATTCGAAACCCGGCTTGTATTATTTTATACTTTGATGTAATTTAGTTTCAAAATCCTAATAACTAGACAATTAATTTTGTTTGTACTGGTTTTCTTTTTGCGAAAGAAATTAAGAGATGAAGTGGCTTCTCTTAAAGGAATTTTACAGGTAACGAAACATGAGTTTTTGTCTATTAAATTATGTAAGGTTTCGTCAGTGTTTCAAGAATCAGTTTTGACTGTGGACGTTTTCGTTTTTAGGACGAGGTGGCCAAACTCAAAGGAGGAATGGCCTTAGACTTCAGCTTGGAAAAGAGTCGAATAAAAGAAGAGGTTCAGTATACTTTGTTCGTTAGAATAGTTCTTAGGTAAGGTAAGGTAAGGTAAGGTAACTTTATTTAAACACGGTATTTCCTTCAGGTATATATTTACATTGAAGTATAGAAAAAATAACTTCCTAACTAATCTAAAATCTAAGATAAAAACTAAAATAAAAGAGATGAAAAGGAAACACCTGCTTTTCAAGGAGGCCGTGTGTAAAAACAGAATATCGCTAATTAAATTATTTGTCGATCGAAATTTATGTCTCTTAATTTTCCCTTAAATAAATTAGGGGATGTCAATTGCCGTACCTCCAGAGGCAAGCTGTTCCATAACGCTCTTCCGCTGTAAGAAAGACTTCTTTTATAAAATTCAGTACGGGGTTGCGAAACAGCGAGCTTGTATTCATTCTCTCTAAGGTTATAGCTAGTTAAATCGCAGCGACGAACAAAACGCGAAGTCAGATATTCTGGAGCAGTGTTATTTACAATGCTATGCATCATTATTGCTTTACTGACTGCGCGCTGATGGACACGTTTCGACCACTTTAAATTTTGAAATAATTCACTAGGACTGCAGTCATAATTAGGAGATCATATACACTTGATTGCAGATATTAAATGTTCTAGGTGACCCAAACGGCCAGTGAAATTATGGGTATAAGTGACAATTAGCTGAATGCTCAGTGGATTTCGCAGTCAGAGCCCTATGGTTTGAACTTCTAGTAACGAACACCTCTCGTATCGAAAGCGACCGTAACCACTCTTTGGGGCCGAGTTGGAAACCTCATTCCCAGGGTCCTCTCCTCGTTCTCAACCCCCGAGGTGAGAGAGGTCGAGTAAGAATTGACCCTGAAAACGAGACTGAAGTTTGCACTGTTATTTTAAAACCTGTTGGGAGCTTTCATTGACATGGTCTGCATGATATTTATGTGCGCTGTATGTACTTTTCAACTCCTGGTAAACGAAGAAATAAGGAAAGTTTCTATCACTGATAGCATTGCACTTTTCGGATTGTAACTCGGCAAAAAGTTTCAGTAATGAAGCTCTTTTTATAGGAGACCCATTTTGACACTCATTTAGTAAACCACCATGTTCGGTAAGCGACTGCTAGGTTTAGATGGCACTGGGTGGTCGCTTGCGGGAGTTTCGACTTTAAGCTTTTCAGGCCCTCGGAAACCTGAAACCAGCCTGACTTGAATGTTGTTATTCAGACCCTATTCATCGTATCGTGTGAATATACGATTATTCAAATCTCTTGTCTTGCTTTGTACATTTTAGCTTGCAGTGCGAGATCAAAGAATAAAGGATGCCGAGAACAGAATAGAAACTGAGGTATGTAGTGAGTACCAGTCGTGGTTCCTTTTATACCCGTAGCATTAGCCTGCCAGCAAGCTCTCCGGGGCGCTCTGGCGGCGGGGCAGGAAAAGGAAGGAGAGCTTGCAACTCGACTCGAAGCAATCGGATGAATTTCAGGCTAGTCTCTTTTGAAATCAATTTTAGGGAAAAGAAAATTTTTAAGTACGTCCATGTTCAGATGGCGCTTCCTAAAAAAAAATTTTAATGTGTTGTTTTTGTGATGAAATACTCCTAGCTGAAGCTGCCGTACCTTTATTTAACAGCTAAAAATAATAAAGAATTTACTGATCTTTACTGGTTAAAGCTCGTTGACTTCGTTCTGTGCCGAAAGCAGAGAAAAATAAAAGCACCATATTTCACGAACTGAAAGGTGTTGTGAACGCGAAGATCGCTCAGAATAATTCGCAGCATGATTTCTGAAGGAGGAATTACAGTCAAACCAGGTGAAGATACCATTCATGAATTGATTATTTGAAAAGTGAACCCGTTTGTCGCTTCTGTAACTTGTAGCCGGTATCAAATTGCATTCAAATGATCGGTGAAGTTTTGACTGCAACTGTTTTAGTATACGATGAGATGGAAAATATTTCAATGGATGAAACTTCTATTTAGGCATTCTTCAAATTCAAGAAAACTGAGCCGGCAGAAATTTCATAACGAACTCGCGTGTGAATTCACTGCTCATTACGCGAGCAAAAATGCAGACTGAAATCAACAACAACTAACGGATGGCGGCATTTTGGCCAATCGGAACAACGCAAATCATCCATATTGTTTCCTATCCAATCAGAAAAAAGTCCAGATTCTGGCTTTTTTACATGTGATCCGACAAAGAAATGTATCGTGCCCTCTTGCCGTAAGAGACATGAAGGGATAATAGGGAGAGGGCATGATCTCAGGCTATTTCCCGCCCCGCCGCCAGAGCACCCTGGCGAGCTTATTCGCAGGCTACCCCAGCATTTAATTTAGGAAGTGGCCTTGTTTTTCTGGATAGACAAAAAAATTTCATGCATATGCATGATGAGGTCGCATACTAGCCTGGAAAGATCGTATTTTGCCGTGCAAACGATGATACCTTTGTTCTCCCGCCATCTTTAACGTTGAAACTGACGGAGAGTTGAAGCGAGTCAAAAAATGTTTCCAAGGGAGAGCTTCACCCCTCCTCCCTTAGTTTTTCAATTGCTCTCAAGTTGGCGGCCGCAATCAATGTACCTCAGATAGGAGTTGTTTAAAAATGGGTTAAGATAACCCAGGGTTAGTGCGAGATTTGAATTCAGATATGAAAGCTTAAAAAACATTTCAGTTTAATTCTTTTTGTCTACAAGTTGATGATTGGAAGCTCTAAAAATTAAAGAGAAAATTATCCGAGTAAATGGTTTTGAACACAAGAAAAAGAAACCCGGGTTAAGCGCTAATCGGCCTTCGAACAACTGGGCCCAGAGCTTCCGTTAAAATTAAAAAAAAACCGTTCTCCTCTCTCTTATCCCTTAAGGAAGGCCTGATGCTCAGGCTACCTTCACACGGCACCGGACTAATTTTCGACCGGTTCAAAAATTCCTGCGTTTAGGTGTTCCGTTCACACATAACCAACCTAACCGGGCGAAAATTTAGACGCGTAGCCTTTCAAAGTGCCGTGTGAACGGAGCAAAAATATTGAACGGTCCCGTGTGAACGTAGTGTCCGGTAAAATTTATCAGCCGATCAAAAATTCGTCCCGTGCCGTGTGAACGTAGCTTCAGGCGAAGTTTTGTTTTTCCCGCCTTTCTTACCTGGTCTTCAAACCGTGTTTTCCCAGTCCTTCATGGTCATGCATTTCGGTGACATAGCTGACTGACAAATTCACTAAGACTGCGTGACCCAAAACAGTAAGCCGCGCAGAATAACTTATGTTGCTCTCCCTCAATACGCACCAATTGTGAAAAAACATAACGATTTTTTAACAAGCTCACATTTGAAATCTCTTAAAGATTCGTTTTGGACTTCTTGTTTTTAGAAAAGACTGATTTTACTGTGCTATTCTCATGTTTTCACTCCATAGGTTGCTAAACTAGGGACGCAGCTCGAGGCACAAAAGTTAGATTTAATCAAGTATATAGTAGGTAAGATAATACACTCCAATCTCTCGGATTTTGCCTCGCATCTTACGTTTTAAACTTAGGGAAATGTAGAAGTTGAAAAATCGTAAGCTCTGATTGTCTCGCCTTGACCGAGTTGACTCGGCTGGGCGAGCAAAAGTGTTTATATGGAGTAAAGTTTGCGTGGCTAGAAGAGCGAGCCCACCAGCACAGAAAGGTGACCCGATTAGGCGCGGTACCCTACTAGCCGAGCCAACTTTGTAAACGGTTCGCCACTTTTAGTAAGGAAAAACATGAAGAGTTAGCTCGCCCATTTTAGTTCTTGCTCAACGCCGGTTCCGCTACTTGTCAAGTTCGCTGTGTTCGAGTTCGCTACGTGTTCGCTACCGGCATGCCGAATTCGCTGCCTATGTTGATGGTGTTAAGTCTAGAACGTTTTTATAGCATGTATAAAAACTCTAGATTGTGAAATATGTATGTGTAATCAAATGGTGCAAGGAACAACGTCACACAAGGCTCGGGAAATTATAAGGATTTGGACAAAACGCAAGTGAAATTATTCCCTAATTTCACGAGTATACCATTTGATTACCTATTAATATCATGGGTGACGAATTACGTTAGCTATCTTGGATTTTTGACATGTTTATCCGGGATCGTATCGATCGAGAACTTCTGCACTCTCTCGAACGTTTAGAGCTTAAATTTGGCTCAAGTTCAGAGTTTTTCGACAAAATACCTGTTAGAATCCTTCTTGATGTGCTCTTTCGTGTGTTCAGGTTTTCTAAAGCGTCTTTTTGTGCCCTGGCATCTTCATTCATGACATTTTAAACTTCGTCGCCATCTTGACACTGAGACATACGTTAGGTTGCCGTGGCAATTTTGTAATTTCACATGTGAAATTACAAATTAACGCTGAAATTTCGCGCCAAAATTAAGGAGTAATTCGTCACCTATGATATTAATAGCTTAATAATATAGAAACTACCGTGAAATTACTAATTCTGACTCTTCCTTACTGGTTGTGTGCTTTCTCTCTCTTGTAAAAGCCGCTGTTCCATTCTGAGCGATGCGCGGACTCGATGATAATGTTTTAAAACATGGCGCCTCTTCAAGTTTAGTAAAGAAGAGTTATTTAAAACAAGATGTTGGTTCTAAAAGATCGTGGAAATGTTCACAACACGTTTAGAAACTTTCGTAGCGAAGTTGGTAGAATGAGGTAAGTAACGAATTTGCATGCCGGTATATGTTGTAGCGCACATGTAGCGAACTCGACAAGTAGCGAAACCGGCTGTTACCCTCAGGTAGGCACATGGCTCCTCTGCTGGTTGTGACAGCTTTTTCCGCCAAAACGGGACCTTAGAAACCTTCCATAGAGTGGGTTCAATGTTGTGTTAAATTCTGAAAAAAAAAATCTGTTCTACTTTTGTTTTTGCCATTGCAGGAAGTTTACTGTCTTGTGTGACGTTGTTCCTTGCGGTGTGGAGATTCGTCAAGACTTGATAAAACGCAGGAGTGTAGTACGTAATTTAATGAATTTTTAAAATCTTGTATCTAATAATAAAGCGAAAAATCTTCTTACCGAGCTTTGTTTATAATTTAAACAAATGCTTATCAAAATATGTAAAATATGTTTACAATTTCCTGGAGAGAAAGAGAATAAAAGACTATCAATCAAGAAAAACAGTGCAAAGTCTTGAGGTATATTCTTCGAGCTTTTTCATAGCTTGTGAAGGTGTTTGCGCGATGTACAATGGTCTCAGAGGTCTCAGGGCTCTCACAGACCTGAAAAGTACTTGAATTCTAGGGGGAGTCCTTGAAAAGTCCTTAAATTTCTTTAACTTTGAATGAAGTGGAGCCGAAAGCGAATTGATTGCACAGAGTTTGGTGTTCTTTTCAGTCTTCTTTTCCTTTGTGAAGGAGCTTTAAACACTGTGACACTCGGGTTTAAAAGCAGCTAGAAAGAGAAAGTGAGAAGAAAAGAAATCCAAATGCGTACTTAAGTTTCAAATTTTAGTCAAAATCAAAGTTAACTCTGTGCTCCTGTTCATGCTTCGTGTATTTTTATCAGAGTTCCATGCTTTCCTGGCTTCCTCGGCAAAAACGTAATGCCGGGAAAGTGTTTTTTAATGCTTTTTGGTTATCCAAGACTGGAATGCAAGAATAGCTCAGAGAAAAATAAAGCAACTGTGGTTTTATTCAAGGAGTAACAATCAGTTCAAGACAAGGGAACTGAAAAATGTAGTTGAAGTTCTGTTAGCGTGGCCTGGGAAAGTATATTTATATAGCATCTTGGGACCCTGAGTGATGAGATGCATATTTCATTTTAGTCACAAAATGAGTTTCTCTTTTAACGAGGGCGAAGATGGTATCTAAAGTGGATTTTTGTACTAAATCTTTGCCAGAGAAAATACAATGTAGAATTATTATATAGTGCCTTCAAATTAGCTGAGATATGATTTCTCTCATGCAGTAGCCAAGATCCTTGGGGCTTTCTCCTTCCTGGATTAAGAAGTTTCCTCCGTCTGTCGTCACACACTCGATTTTTGAGTTATGCACTCAGTTCTCGCGCTTCACACTCGCGCACACTTTTTCACGCATCTAGCGCGGCTTTTGATTCGCAGCTCGAGTAGTGGGCAAGTCTACCGATATACTTGTATCCTCTGTACGTTTGTTCTCGAAGAAAATCAGTTATGGTTAATACCAGAATATAAGGTACCGGGCGTGGGAGCTTTCGAACCCCTGTCTACCCATCTCATAAAAGATGTTGTTCATCCGGGTATATGTATGTTAAGGTTACTTCTCGTGAGCGAAATGATAAACTTCATCCTCGGAGACCCAGAGGCAGACGGTGGGGGCGAGGGAAAGTCTAAACGGGCGGAAAAATATGGCACGAAGAAAAATAAAGAACGGCGAGAAGAGCCCCTGGGGACAATGTCTCTCCAGACCAGTTCCAAACGGTCGCCGCCGTCCTGACTTCTGATTGGTGCCAGAAAACTTTTGTGTTTTTCTGCCCAATCAGAAGGCAGAGCGGCGGCGACCGTTTGGAACTGGTCTGGAAAGACATTGTCCCCAGGGGCTCTTCTCGCCGTTCTTTACTTTTCTTCGTGCCATATTTTTCCGCCCGTTTAGACTTTCCCTCGCCCCCACTATCTGCCCCTGGGTCTCCGAGGATGGATAAACTTAAGGTATCGCACAGAACTTACTTGGTCTGTTTAGTCGACTTTAAGACTTTCTTAACATTTAAAAGAACCTAACCAGTTTCGAAACAATGCTTAACCCTAATCAGTAAAGGCAGTGCTTAACCCTAATTAGTAAAGGGGAAAACTACGTTGTGTGAATTTCATGAGGTGTCCGACGGGGCTGAGGTCGATGGGATCTAATGATAACGCTTCTGATCAGAGAAGCGGCTGGGTACGAGTCTGTCGTTGTCGCGTTAAATAAAACACCATCCCACGAGCATGATGGCGAACTTTCCGATCTTGCAGGAAATCAAAGGCGAATGGAGATCAGCTAAGACGATGGAAATAATGGGCTTAAGAATTCCGGCGTATTTTACTGACGATCCTCGGTTGCTGTACGACTACATTGTCAACTTCAAGACGAAGTCAGACGACGTATTTGTAGTCAGCTATCCGAAAGCAGGTTAGAATATTGAGTCAAGTCAAGTCAATTTTATTGTGAAAATACGCTTAGCTATTTCTAAAAGCCTTGAAGGATCGTATAGTTCTATAGCCGGATTTCGTGGCACATAGGGCGCGATTCTGTCCCATTTTGTGCTGTGGAGTACCAGTCGGCGTGATCGGGGAAGCCTTGTTGGATTGGCGATAACCGAGCTCTTGCTACTTATCATGCCGTTTGTTTAAAAGCGAGAATTAAGATAATCTATAATAATTTCAAAGTGCTTTCACAAAGAACAAGCATACCCCATTCATTTCATTAACCACCGAGGCTTAATATTAAATTTAAAGCGTTACTGATGCGGCGTTTATTCAAGGGCGCCATTTATTTCAAAATCTCTTTTGTTAAATTACTGACAACAATTACGATAAATCATACACAGGAGGATATTACATGTTGTAATGTTCGGCTTTTTGCAGAGATAGAATCATAATTGTCTGGTTGGTGTAGATTACCAAGTTTTACCGAGTTTTTCCTTATAATCCTATAATAAACGCCGCATTCTTCAGATTGGGTGTAGCGTTTATTGGTAATTTTGCTTCAATCTACGGCGTTAACTCGAGGGCGGCGTTTATCTGGAGGTGGCGTTTACGTCGACTTAATATGTTGAGTATCTAAACCAAGGAGGCTTCGGGACAAAAATTGCAATTTTTTTTCCAGAAACGAGCAGATAGATAGATAGATAGAGATTTGAGCCTTTGATGTTTTTACCTTTTGGATAATACCCCGAAAGTCAGAGGTTTCATTTCAGTTTAAATTGTTAGGAACTCGCTTTGAATGAGGCGTGACATGTCTAGGGAATTTCTTCTTCTTCTTCTTCGTTTTTTAAGGACCTAAAGGATCTTACCAAGCGAAAGCTTGGCTTGTCTGTAGCGTAATTGGTTTGTTTACACGGCGTAAAACGCTAACAGCCACGCAAGAGAGAAACCTCTGCTCGCAGCTGCAGGGTAAAGGAACTGTAGAAAGGTTTTGACCCATTTGCCATTCCATCCATTCTTGTGTAACCCACGATACTCAAAAGAATAGAGAAGGCAATCAGGCCGGGATTTTTACACGATGAGGGAGAACCGAGGGAGTTAGAAAATTGTGGGTACCTCTGCGAAAAAACCCTGGCGACACCATTGCTGTGAAGGAATGTTTATCTGCAATTGATAGGATTTGAAGGGAAAAACGTCATTGTAGTCAAAGCATAATATGGAGCTTGTAATTACACCTCGTTCGATTTGTACATGTCAAACAGAATTAATTCTTAAGGAGGATTTGCAAGCTTAAAACACAAGAAGAAAATCGTCGCCTTATGTCTGACGTCCTCCATAAAAAGTGAAATTGGCCGATGGGGTAGTTACACGATGAGGGAGAACTGAGGGAGTTAGAAAATTGTGGGCACCTCTGGAAAAAAAACCTGGCGACACCATTGCTGTGAAGGAATGTTTATCTGCAATTGATAGGATTTGAAGAGAAAAACGTCATTGTAGTCAAAGCATAATATGGAGCTTGTAATTACACCTCGTTCGATTTGTCAAACAGAATTAATTCTTAAGGAGGGTTTGCAAGTTTAAAAAAGAAAAAGGAAATCGTCGCCTTATGTCTGACGTCCTCCATAAAACGTGAAATTGGCCGATAGGTAGTTAGCCCTGCAGTGGACGGCAAGAGAAATGTATCAAAACTGTACTTGACGTGCCAAGTTGTTGTTGCTTAGGGTGGATGGGTGAACATTTGCAGCATACACATATCGCCATCGCATTTGCCCCTTGGAGAGAGTGTTTTATTGTTTTCAAGCTTTAATGTAATACAGACAGTGAAAAATTCAACGGGCAGATGCGAGGACTTATTAACGAGTATGTTGCAAGCTATATAACAATTATTCACCGAGGTGGAGGTGGCTAGTAGTGATCCATTACTAGCCACCGACACTGAGGTAAGGACAAGGTAAAAAACACACGCACTAGGTACAAAAAGGGGGCTGAGAATTGTATTTTAATATCTGCTATACACAGGCTTAAACAAGAGAAACAGATTACGGACTAGATTGTCACACATTCCTTTAGCTGGACACGCAAATGCGTTCGCAAACCGGGAAGAAAGCGTTACGTATGAGGCCCTACAACTGGACGCGCGGAGAAGCTCATTCCGCGGTTAGGGAAACCGAAAATAAAACTTAGAGGAGGAGTTAGAAGAGAATTTAATTCACAGTTTTATGATCAATAAATGACGAAACTGAGAAGCAGAGAGCCTTGAAAGGTCGTATCAGGTTCTATATGAATCGGGTATTGAGTTTCTTCAAGTTTTGGCGCTGTAAACCGCCACGATTTAAGGCCGTATGTTGAACAGTTGGCCATTTGCCGCTTTAAAATATCGTTTCCTCTGAGGTCGTATTTATTGTTTCTTTGTTCAATCAAATTTTTAATGCTCATTGGGCATTGTTAAGGTGTTTCGATACAGCTTTTTTTCAGAGACCATACCGATATTTTTCAATTGCCTGAAAAGTGGTTTTCTCCTTGTCCGATCACTATAAAATTTTCACCAGTAACTGGCTATAGATTGAAATTTGTAAAAATGTAGTTTGAAGTAAAATCGATATTACTATGACAACAATAAACAAAAAAACTTTGAAGTTGATAAAAGCCGAATTTTGTTTGATCTAGACCAGCTATTGAAAATGCAACACTAGGAACGTAAAGTTTGGTGGTGAGAAAACAATCTCCGTAAGAAGTAAAAAATTCTGTATGTTTGAATTCGACTAGGACGAAAAAATATACATGAAACCTTTATTTAAGATTTGGAATTTTAGCGTTTTCTTGTACAGTGGCGGATCTTTTTTTGGAGACCGGGGCCCGGTTGCATAAAACGTCCGTAACAACTACGGGTACACGTACGTGCACTCGTTAGTTAAGTCAGTTGCATGAAATCACTTAAGTGGTCCACTTAGGGAATTCACTTAAGTGGTTGCACTTACGATTTTCGTAAGTGTTCACTTAAGTGTCGTTTATGCAACAGAAATTGCGGGTGTTGCATAAAACTTTTTTTACGGGAAAAATAGCACGTACATTTTAGGTCCCGTATCGTCACTGTTTTTACTAAATTTAACGAGATCTTTTACTGAGAAGTGAAAAAAAGTATTTTTCTTCACGTAATTCGTTCTAATGCGCTTTGTTAACCTCTGATGTACACTTTTGTGAAAAAAGAAGAAGAACTATCATTTTCAGTAGATATTGAAGAAAAATAACGTTTGCATGCAAATTTCATTTTTTGAGAGGCTTAAAAGTGTTGGAAACGACTTTTAACTTTCTTTACACTCACCGACGGTTAGCTTAAAAAAAAAAAGAGTGAATCGTTAATAAAGTACTATATCAAGGTTACGTGTGCCCTTAAGTGAGCCCGTAAGTTACCACGTAAAACAGAAACTTACGAGAGTGCTAAGTGTGTTCCATGCAACACCCGTAAGTGTACCCATAACGGATTCGTAAGTGACCTACTTAAGTGAGCACTTAAGCGCAGGTTTTATGCAACCGGGCCCGGGCCCCGGACCCTTATCTCAGGGTCTGGATGACCCCCCCCCCCGCCCTTATCTAAAGGTCTGGATCTGCCACTGTTGTATGTCTCTAAAGCGACTCGAACGAATTTTTTTGAAAATTTCTTCACATAATCTTCATAATTTATAAATAAGGTCTGAAACTTTCATTGAGATTGATTCAATGCAACATCTTAAAATTTCAAGACAAACCTATTCTATGAACCTCTCAAAACTCTGCGTTGCAACATTCACTGTTTTGACGTTATGCTAATTTTTCCAGAATAATGCGCACTATACATACCTCCATCACTAGTACATTTTAGTTTAAACTTATCGCATCTTTTGAATGTAAAACATTGACAATACTCACACTGAAATGTACTAGTACTAGTCATGGATATATGTATTGTCCGCATTAATTTGGAAAATTTCAGAGATATACAAAAAAGCGCTAAAAGTCCAAATTTTGAATGAAGTTGCACTTAGACAGGTGGTGAGAAAACGGGTTATTTTTTAAGAATACACCAAAATTTCCTAGCATCGAAATATGATATCAAGCAGCATTCCGAAGCTACTTAAGAATAATTTGAATCATTCATAACGTTTTTATTAAGTAATCTATCACCGCTATTGAAAATTTAAGGTTTGAGATATATTTTCTTTTTAGTCGAATTCAAAATTATCGGAGGTTATTTGCTAAATACCAAACTTTAAGTTCCTAGTGTTGGATTTTCTGTAGCTGGTCTAGACCGCCAAAATTAGGCGTTTATCAATTTCAAAGTTTTTTGTTCATTGTTGTCATGGTAATACCGATTTTACTAAAACCTACATTTTGACAAATTTCAATCTATAGTCAATCATTGGTGAAAATTTTATAGCGATCAGACAAGGATAAAATCAAATATATCGATATGGCCTCTGAAAAATTATATCGAAATTGAAAACTGTGCATGCTATATATTTTAGCGAGGCGTTGGTTCACAAGTGATGATAAACCTATTCTATTTATTAAATCAGAGTAGAGTGCTTGTTAAAAATTCCTTTTTAAATCACAGGCAGCACAAACGGGTCGCATATCGAACGCTACCGATATTATAAAAGCACCCTGTAAGGAATAGCTGTATGTCGTGGTCTCTTGAGTGTAGGAAATATGATATTACTCTATAGAACTTTTCTTACAAACTTTTTTCTATTCGTAATCATGCTTATTTATGTAAGTATACGTCGCTGGATTCCTTTTGGTCATTTTTAAACCTCCCCGAAATAAAACCAAGGGGTCACCAAGGATTTGATGAAAGAAAATAAAAGTGTCAAATAGTTACAAGCAAGGAAAAGGACACAAATAAACAAGGGAGTAATATTATGTGGTCGTCTAGTGATTTAAAAGTTAATTACAATCACTCTGTTCTCAATCTTGACTGTAACTCACAAGATCACGCAATCAAATTGCACTACAAATTGCTGATGTGAACAAACTTGAAACATCCAGCCTAGATCCACTAGATCCAGCCTCCCTAGGCGTTCTCTCTTGACCCGTTGTCCGCGCGAAGTTTGACCACTACAGAAAATACCATAACATATCATAATACTCTTTGTTTGTCACTCCAATATTTTGCATAAGCATTGTTTTCAGTTTCTCTTGGGGGCATTTTAACTCCCAAGAGAAACTGAAGACAATGCTTATGCAAAATATTGGAGTGACATTGCATGTTATGATTTTTTTTCGCCTACCCTTCCCCTAAGTCAGCATTGTTTGCGGCTAGTTAGATAAGGTAAGACTAAAGAATATAGGATTTCTGCATTGGCTTTTCATATTTTTATCAGCAAAAGCAGAATAACTGAATAACAATAAATTCTCTCTTCAAAATAACCAGCAAAAAAAGTAATAAGTAAAATAGAATAAATAATAACGAGATCATTGAAATTTTGAGCTCGACATAACCATTTAGATTAACAACGTGAACAACAGTTTCATAAAGAACTGAACACCCAAGTAAGGTACAGTATGCACAAACAAACTACTGAAGGCCGAATTATTGAGCTTTTTGAAAAGATAGCCCATATAGTACATATGTTAGTAATCTAAGTGTATGTATAAAATCTCTAATTGCGTGTTTGTGGTATGTTTGTCAATTTGTCAGTTTATTATGAATGACTTTCATTTTGGCATCAACCGGTTAAAAACAAAAATCTTGAGATCCTGAACCTAGATCAGGGAAAAGTAGTGAGAGGTGGAAAAAAGGCTTAAGATGTCCTAATTTCTAAGAGGAAGGACTTTCAGCTTTTAATTGGAATTATAGGTTAGTAGTGACGAGATCTTCTTCGTTGCTTACTGAAGTGTAGACATCTCATGCGAGATTCGGGGTTTTTAACAGTGAATCTGCACGTTTGGTGACAACAGTAATTATCTCCGTAGGGTTCTCTGTAGGCTGAAGGCCCCACTGTAGCCTATCTCGGACCCACTTATTTTTTCTTGAGAGATCACCAAGCGCGTAAGAAAAAAAAAACAGCGGGGGATTTATTGACCAGAAGCGCAAAGGGCTGGGGTGGGGGAGGGAGAAAATGAACGGTCTGTGGGTATCTTTGGGAAGAACTAAAACTCGCTTTTCGCAGAAAAAGTAAAATAGCCGGGAGCTAAGGGGTAGGGGAGAAGAACGTAGCCTGAATTTCATCCGATTACTTCGAGTCGTTTTTACTCCCTCAGTTGTTGAGAGGAGAAAACGACTCGAAGCAATCGGATGAATTTCAGGCGAAGAAGAACGTACTTTCTGTTTCCTGAGGGATTCGGCTCGCAGGAGCATCGACGGTTTGGAAATTTGGGCTAGTTTTGAATTACCCCGTGTGAGGAAATCCGGATTCCACATTCCGGAAAATTGTGCTCGTGGAATCCGGAATCCTGGTCTTTGGAATGCGGAATATAGCTCAAGGAATCCAGAATTCTACCAACGATTGGAACTCAGGGGTCCCAGAATCCAAGTTCCACTGAGAAAAACAGGAATCAAGTAGCTGGAATCGGGAATTCACGGTGTGGAATCCAGAATCCGGGACTGTTTTGGATTCCCTTACATGGGCAGATTTGAATGTTACATTTTATCTCTTTAAGGAACAACTTGGATTCAAGAAATTGTCTGGCAAATTTACCACAATGGAGAAGTCAACAGCAAACGAATTGAAGACCGTGTTCCATTCTTAGAAGAGGCTATTAATCCAAAAGCTTCACAACCAGACATTGCTAGTTTACCAAGCCCCCGCCTAATTAAGACACACCTTTCTTATGAGGCTATACCAAAAGGTGTAAACGAGGAAACAACGTGCAAGTATATTTACATTGCTCGAAATCCAAAAGATAATGCTGTATCAAATTATAAATTCCTGACAAGCTTGGCGAAATCTACTGGATTGAATGCATCGTGGGAATTTTCTGCTGATCTGTTTGTTCAGGGAAAGTGTAAGTTATCATGATTATTTTACATGGTAATAATGCTTCTATAGTTGATCTTCCATTAGTTAGGGGCAAGAAGACCTTTACTGGCCTTTACACTAAATGGGACTCTTTCACACCCTGAAAATACAAGATAAAACCTTATCCGCATCCTCACTTTTCGCTGTTTCCGCATTTGCTCGTCACACCACCCCAAATGAAAATTTATTATTGGTCTGCTGCAAGTATTGAAAAGTAATTATTGGCGTACTGAAAATTAGTAGAGTGTGTTTGAACAATCTTGCTATAATACCTGAGAAAACTCGGAAGGGAGAACGAATGTAGTGTCTATGAGTTTGGTTTCATTGTTGGCTAGCCCAGCGAGGATGGGGTCAGTCATTGCTGACTTACAGAAGGCCAGCATATTGATGGCTTCTGTGGCTTAGCATCGTTATTTTGTGAGATGAAGAAGGCGAGTCATATTGTGCTTACGGGGCGTTGGTTTGCAAGATGAACCTAGGGCGGGGCGTACTACGTAGCCTTAATGACGATACCAAAGCGATGGTAAAGAGCGAGGTTCTTTTTCATAACGGAGTGATCCAAATGGGTATTTCAAAGGTCAAGGTCAAAGTTTGTTAAATAAGATTAAAATTCCTGCGCAGCGTAGTTACTTAATGTTAATTTGAAAACTGTAAAATGTACCCTGTTATTTAAGAGTCTTATCCGACGTTTCGGCAATGCTGCTACCGTTAAAAGTTATTTAGTCTTCTACTGTGCTGAAGAAGGCAACATTGCCGAAACGTCGGTCAAAGCTTGTTAACGCTGATCAGTGTCAGATTGTTTATTTCGGGGAGAGGTAATGGGCTTTGTAAAGGACTTCCAGCAGTCGACGGATGCACACATTGCAAATACGGTGAATCTTGTCGATGAGAGCCTGGTAATGGAACAGGTGTCAAGGAAATCAATACCAAAATAACCGGAGACAAGTGTGATAAACGCAAATTCCTGGGGGGATGACAAGAGACACTAGGTTCGTTGTAGAAGAAACGTTCGCGTGAAATTTGTAGTAAATCCAAGGTCAGAGCAGATACAAAATGTGATATCAATGTTTCGAGAGGGTGTGCCACAGATCTAAAAATCATCGAGGTAGTTCTAAAAGGGATGGGTGCGATATAACATAGCACCAACGTGTGTCGCAAAACAGCGACGAACTTAAGAAATAGCGTCCGTAAACTCCGGAGACCAAGAGACAGAAACATGTTGAAGCAATAGCCAGTACGTGGAGACTCGAACCCTAACCGTCAGACCAAAACGCTCCCAGTCGCGGGGTTCTATAAGAATATATTGGACGGTGCCTCACTGAAAGGTCGAGTTTGCTCATGTGTACATATTTTTCTCTAAACTGGTTATGATGCTTCTTAAGGTAGCAGAAAGAAGTAGTGTTAGAGGCATGGCAAAAAACCTTCGTGACTTACTTACCTACTATATCAACCTACACAATTGTTATATCTTGCAGCAACGTGGAGTCACTGGGATAAACATGTACTTGGATGGTGGAAACACAAAGACGATGCTAACGTCTTGTTCCTGAAATATGAAGACTTGAAAAAGGTTTGTTATCATTATCGGAGAATTAACGGTAAAGTGGTTTTTACTTTTTTTGAAATTAATTCTGTTACATTAATTTGGTTTGCGTTGATTAATGCGTAGTGGTGGGTAGAAAACCTAGTTAATTAATTAGCACTTGTTGAATGAGGCTGGGTATCATCTGAAGAATTATGGAGATCGAGGAAGGTGCGGATAACACCCTCCTAGTTTAAAAAAAACTAAAATATGCTTACCTCCATCGATGTTAAGTTCATCTTCGATAGTGCATGTTTATCGGCATGTTTAGGAGATAATGGGTTGTTCAGTTTAGCAAATATTTGTCGAATAGCAGATCCCGAGATGTCGTCCGTCGAGTTGTCTTCTTGCTGTTCTTGCTACGTTTTTAGCTAATAGTTTGCCTACCGGTATTTTCTTCCTCGTGAAACGAGTGAAATGTTCCGCCATTTTGTATTCACTACCGAAACAACTCAACCTCGTCCCCAGGTCTTCTCGGTTAACTGTTCAGTAACTTGGCAATTTTGCTGCACGATTGACGTCATCAGTTCACATATCTTCTTCCAAATTTGGTCGACAGTAGCTGTTTATGATGAATTTCGCGTGGGATTTTAGCCAATCAGAAAGGGAGAAATATTTTGAATGAATAATAGTATGCTTTATTATTCCACTATTATGTCATTTTACCATATAAGGTCAAGAGAACAAGCAAAATACGAGGCCGTAATACACCGTAGTGTCCTGGTTTAACCGGTTTACAACAGGGCGAATACCGGCGGATGCAAAAGGAGCAACTGTGGCTGACAGAATCAGGATGTTTTGGATACTCTCATTAGAAAATAGAAGCCAAAATACCATTTTTCTTTTGCAGTAAAATAATTAACCTCTCATTCAATGGTTTGGCATAAAATACGCGCTAACATTTTGCTAATTGTTAACGTCATTCTCACAGACAATCAGGATGTCTCTGAATACTCATTACCAAAAAATAGAAGCCAATTGCCAGATAATTTTTTTTTGTAGTGGAATAATAAACCTCTTATTCGATGGTTTAGCATATAATACGAGCGGACATTTTGCTCATTGCTCGTATTTTTCCTCGCCCCTGCGGGGCTTGGAAAATACTACGCAACTCGCAAAATATCCGCACGTATTATATGCTAAACCATCGAATAAGGTGTATTTATTAAATAGACACGAGTGTTTTACTGGAAAATATACCACTCGTAAAATTCATAAAAGCTACACCCGGGACCCGAGTGGTTTATTTTCCATAATCTCACAAGTGAGTTTATCGGTGACGTAATTTCGGTAATTTCCCTTTATGTCTCTTTGTCTATATAATAAAAAGAACATTACCCGGCGGCTTGAAGATATGAATTTTATTTTCTCGTGGCAAAAACAATATTTTACTCACTCGCTGCGCTCGTTCGTAAAATATTGTTTTGCCACTCGAAAATAAAATTCATATCTTTGCACTACCGTGTAATATCCTCTATTTATACAGAGGAGAAGTGTGACGTCACGGTACCTTGGTAGCAAGATTTCTGGATCTCAACAATTTTTCTTGAAAGAGTTATGGCCATTTGATTGTCGAACGATGGAAGAAAGGCATGGGCCACTTTGGCTCCTGAGTGCAATCATGCGCATGAAAGTCATTCAAATCATGATTCAAATCAATTGCGATATTTGCAACAACAAATCCTCTCCCTTAGCCTGTTAGGAAGGCCTGATACTCAGGCTACAACAACACGGTTTATAGAGATCGAGAAGTTTTGCTACCATGGCAACGTGATTCATGCAACGACTTCTCTTATGATCCTCCCAGAGATCACATGTATCTTTTAACATAACCTCTGATATTTCATTTCATTTTATATTCTTAAGTTGCTGTGCCATCGATTTTGACCTATTATGTTTCAGTTAGTAATTGCCTAAAATATTATTTGAGGAAGCCTTTTTCTTTAAGTCCTGTGATTTCCCTTGGGCGTCCACGCCATTTGGTTATCATTTGCTATGTGCTATGTATATGAAAAAAAAATAATAATAATAAATAAACTTGGCTCTAAAAAACTTATTTTGTTTTATTAGTTTCACATCAGAATTAAAAATGCGAGAAGGATTGACAGGTAACCTCAAACTCGCACGTTCTTTTGGCTGGTCACGCAATCCTGCCTTGGTATGCTGCGCTGAGCGTCGATGGAATAGCCTCCCATGCCGACGTTCTTTGTGCGGGGAAGTAACGCGTGACAAAGCGCAAAGAACGTCTGCGTGGGAGGCTAGCATTGGCCGGGACAACGCACATAAATTCTGTCTGAATTTCCAATCTTTTCTATCAGTTTTCAAGCCCTTTTACCACTTTGTTTCTTCTCCTTAGGATCTTCTAAGCCATGTTCGTATGATCTCCCAATTCCTGAACAAGCCCTTGTCAGATGAACTCCTAAATCGCATCTCAGAGCAGTGTACATTCAATGGAATGATGAAAAACGCGAAAAGTTACCTTCTGCGTGGAACAGAGGATGGACCAAAACTTCTGCGAAAGGGCGTGGTGGGAGACTGGAAGAATTACTTTACTCCTGAGCAAAGTGAGAGATTTGACAAGGAATTGTTGGCAAAATTAGACGGGACTGGATTAGAGTTTGAAATGTAGCAAGCTTGTTTTCATTAAATATATTCGAAATTACAGAAGAGGCCTCTTAACACTTTGGGGAGACTGCGAAAGGATTCCTTTGCTCCAGAGCCAGGATTGAGAGATTTGATAAGGACGGCTGTGCTTGAATTTGAGAACTGAAGCTGATATAATTTTTGCCAGATTGTATCGAACTTTGAAAAGAATCTGTCAACCACTTTAATGAAATAAAAAAGGGTGTATCGTCTGCTGGTCCTCATAGGGCTGGTGTTAATTTACCGTGAGCGGAACACCGGTTTGGTTTAGTCATGTGCTGGAGGTTCGGATTTGTTTAGATGTTTGGCTGCAAGACCTTTAACGTGGTGTGTTTGAGCATTTCCACTTTGCGCCCTAATTCTTTATGAAGAATTGGTACCATCTTTCTTTTGTTTAAAAAAGCAGTATGGGTGCCCCATTTTGATCAATTAATCAAGCCCCCCTCTCAAATGAGGCCCCCTCAAAGTTGCTTGTAATAAATAAGCCTCAGTGCATGTACTCTGCTACACAGCCGTTTTTAGTGTCATCACGCAACGCTGGGGAGGAGCGTTGCGTGACGACACTAAAAACGGCTATGCAGCAGACTACAGTGCTTGCTGAAGTAGTAGACCAAAGTACTTCTTTGATTCGAGCCTTGCAAGAGCCAGGTGACATCCAACCATCGGGACATCATGGCCTTTAACAAGCTCACTTGCAGGCGCATTTACAAATGAATTGTTCTAGCATTGTCACGTAATCACATTTCTTCATTGAAAGGAAGTCAAAGATAGAACTGCACGGACTGCCAATGTGGTTTTTGTGGTTGGGTTGCATTATAAAAGCCTTCATATTTTTGCCTCTTTCAAGCATGTCCGTTAGAGATTTACCTGTTTTGTAGGATATGATCGGAGGCCTTTTAAACTGAATTGTTTTCAGCAGATACTGATTTTCTATTTGACTCCAGTTTGCCATCACGATCTTTTTAATATCTTGTACCGCTGGGTGATATATAGTAACTAAAGGCAATAGTCTCTCTTTACATTTTTTCTTTTCAATTTGAGCACCTATTGTCTTTAGTCAAGGTTAATCTTTGACTACGACCTTCCCATATACTTTCTAGGATAACCGCGTGTAGAAGGCCTAAATGTAATAAACGACCCTACATGTAAAGTCCTAAATGTAATAACAATTTGCCCTAAACGTAATAAACTCTTAAGTTGCCAATTACAGTAATTACTTGAATAAGCACCGCATTGGCGGGGGAAAGGGGGGGGGGGGAGTTAATTAGCGCCGCTGCGCTTATTTATGTAAATACGGTACTTAGCGGTATTACTCTGGTATTAAGCTCCGCTCTCAAATAAACGCCGCATTTTTGGAGAAAAAAGTTAATAAGCGCCGCGGCGCTGATTCATGTAAATTCGGTAAATTTAATTATGCATTGTGAAACTTAACGTTTACAAATAAATTGCTTGTAAACGGCAAAGTAACAGTATTTTTCTAAAAAAAAAAAAAAGCAATATTTAAGCAATAGAAAACTTTTTTCCTGTGTTTGCAAAGCCTGATATAAATACTCGAGGGGTTGGAAGAATTTGAGACTGTCATGCAAACTCGAGACGAAGTCGAGGGTTTGCATGACTGTCAAGAATTCTCCCAGCCCCTCGAGTGTTTGTATCAGGCTATGCAAACACAGGATAAAAGTTTTCAATTGCTTTTATTAAATAAAATGTCAGCTTAAGCGAAAAAAAAAAGTGGCGCAGCAGGTTTGTAAAGATTTTCCAAGTTTCACCCGACGAGGGAATGGGTAAATAAAGTAAATTTGTCGAGTTTTCAACTCAAAAACTTTTTAAAATTCGTGGTTGTGTGATTAGCGCGCGAAGAGCAAAACATCTTGACTCCACACATGTTTGCATACTCTCATGCAAACACATCTCTCGGCCAATCAGAGCGCGCGTACTATCTTAGTTATTTATAAACGTTGTTATAAACTGTGCAGTAGTCTTTAGGGCCCGTTTACATGGAGGTGGGGGACCCCAGGTAGGTGAGGTAACCCGCTTTGGTGGGTAACCCGCCTGTCCACATAATCTGTCATTTTAATTTAATCACGTTTACATGATAGGTGGGATGACCCGCCGCATGTTACCTTACCTATCTGGGGTCCCCCACCTCCATGTAAAAGACTTCTCGTTTCTTGTTAATTTCTTAATATTTTAGCTAATTAGATCTCTTTTCTAGAGACCCAACGTTGACAAGCAACAGGATCTTCGTCCACGGTTTTTGCAGTAAATTTCTTTAACAAAAATGAAGCATGAAAAACGTTTTAAGGCTTACAAGTTTTTTTTTTTCAGTTTTGTCCCTTTACAAGCAATTTTTTTTGTAAAGCCAAGTTACACAGTGCATAAGGAAATGTACCGAAGCTTATTAAATTTTTTCTCCAAAAATGCGACGCTTATTTGAGGGCGGCCCTTAAAACGATAGTAATACCCCTTAGTACCGTATTTACGCGAATAAGCGCAGCAGCGTTTATTAAATCCTCCCAAATGCGACGCTTATTTGAGTAATTACTGTAATTTGCAACTTAGGAGTTTATTACATTAGGGACAAAAGGTTATTACATTTAGGACTTTATTACATTTAGGACAAAAGGTTTTTACATTTAGGACCTTAGTACATTTAGGGTCGTTTATTACATTTAGGCCTTCTACAACCGCGTGCTTCGAGGCGTTTTTAAAAGCAATCTTATTATTCATTGAAAATATTTCCCCAATTCTGATTGGCTAAAAGCACACGCACAATTCACCATAACCAGTTACTGATGACCAAATTTGGAAGAATTTTGTGTTTAACGAGGAAATGACGTCAAAAATGCAGCCCTCTACAGGTTAATGCACCGTTAACCAAGAGGACCTGGGGACGAGGTTGAGTTGTTTTCTTTGTGACTAAAATGGCGGACACTTCACTCGTTTCAAGAGTAAGAACTACAGCTGGAACTAGGCGAAATAATGGCTAAAATCAAGAAGACAACTCGGAGGGCGACACCTGCTATTTGGAGAATATTTACGGAGCTGGACAAATCTAAACGTACACTATCGAAGATAAACTTAACATCGATGCAGGTAAGCATGTTTTAGCCATGTTTTTAAACTAGGAATTATTTTGAATGAACAATTCCGAGCGTAGCGACTTTATAATCTTGCCGATGATTGGAAGATGATGATTGGAAGCTCTAAAAATAACATAGAAAATTATCCGAAAAAATGCTTTTGAACACAAAAAAAGAAACCCGGGTTAAGCGCTAATCGGCCTTCGAACAACTGGGCCCAGAGCTTCCGTTAAAAAAAACGCGTTCTCCTCTCTCCTAATACTGATACTGAGGCTACCTTCACACAGTAACGGATTAATTTTCAACCGGTTGAAAATTCCTGTGATCAGGTGTTTCGTTCACACAAAACCCAACCTAACCAGGCGAAAATTTCATCGCCAAGTCGTTCAAACTGCCGTGTGAACAGAGCAAAAAATATTGAACGATCCCGTATGAAAGTAGTGTCCGGTCAAATTTTTCAGCCGTTTGAAAATTTCGTCCGGTTCCTTCTGAACGTAGTAGCTCTAGGGTAGGTTTGTTTTTCCCGCCTTTCTTGCCTGGGGCCTGTTTCTCGAAAGCCCCGATAATTAACGGGCCCGTAAAGTTATTTTTGTTTACATGCAAGATAGAGGTTTCAAGAATTTTGTATGCAACATGATAAAACTATCAGTTAAGGAAACAAAATGGAGCCGTTTGTTAACCAGGACCCGCGCTCTTATTTTTTGTTTTTCGGTTTGAAAATTTGATTTCTGGCCCGAAACGTTACCGGAACTTTCGAGAAGCGGACCCCAGGTCTTCATACCGTGTTTTTCCAGTTCTTCGCGGTCATGCATTTCGGTGACATAGCTGGGAAACAAATTCACTTATACTACGTGACCGAAAACGGAGCCACGCAGAATAACTAACTTTTTCCACGCACATGCTGCCCTCCCTCAACACGCACCGTTTGTCAAAACTGTGCTGTTCTCATGTTTTCACTCTATAGGTTGCTAAACTTGGGACGCAGCTCGAGGCACAAAAGTTAGATTTAATCAAGTATATAGTAGGTAAAATAAGACACTCAATTCTCTCGGATTTTGACGCAAATCCTAAAACCGGTAATGTTTTAAACTTAGGGAAATGTAGAAGGTAAAAAAATTGTGTCTTTAAAAAGAAATGCCCGGAGAGAACCTGTCCCGGGAATAAGGTTCACCCTCCAACCCAGTCAACTTTAACGAGCGTTTATGAGAAAAACGGTTGACCCCTGTGCCCTCACCCTTTGCCCGAGCCAGCAACGCGCGCGCATGCTTTGATTGTCTTTAAAAGCTCTTAAGTAGAGACGTTTTTGAGGAACGCTACCAAATTTGTATTGCTAATTGTCTTTTCTTATATGCCGACGATTTGCCAAAACATTTGGGTGAAAACACTGCCCAAGAAGGCAAAATATCCACTTCTAGGTGACTTGCGTTGCTTAGAAACGTCGTTGCTTAAACTCCCTGTTGTCTCGCCCTACAATTGACCCATTTGATTCTGCTGGGCTAGCTCAGGTGTTCATATGGAAAAATGTTTGCCCTGCTGGGAGGGTGAACCTAGCTACCATCACAAAAAGGTGACCCGATTAGGTGGATTACCCTGCTGGCCGAGCCAACTTTGTAATTGGTTCGCCACTTTTTGTAAGGAAAAATTAGTAATTTTGACTCTTCCTTACTGGTTGTGTGCTTTCTCTCTCTTGTAAAAGCCGCTGTTCCATAGCGATGTGCGGGCTCGATGATAATGTGCTAAAACATGGCGCCTCTTCAAGTTCAGTAAGGAAGAGTTATTTAAAACAAGTTGTTGGTTCTAAAAGATCGTGGAAATGTTCACAACAAGTTTAGAAACTTTGGTAGCGAAGTTGGTAGAATGAAGTAAGTAACAAATTTGCATGCCGGTGGCGAACATGTAGCGAACTCGACAAGTAGCGAAACCGGCTGTTACCCTCAGGTAGGCGGGTGACCGCTCCACCCGGGACAGCTTTTTCCACCAAAACAGGACCTTTTAAAAAGTAGGCTCAATGTTGTGTTTAAATTCTGAAAAAATCTGCTCTACTTTTGTTTTTGCCATTGCAGGAAGTTTACTGTCTTATGTTACGTTGTTCGTTGCGGTGTGGAGATTCGTCAAGACTTGATGAACTTAGGAATTGAGTACGTAATTTAATGAATTTTTAAAATCTTGAATCTAATAATAAAGCGAAAAATCTTCTTACTGAGCTTTGTTTATAATTTAAACAAATGCTTATTAAAATATGTAAAATATGCTTATGATTTCCCGGAGAGAAAAAAAGTGCAAAGTCTTGAAGTATATTCTTCGAGCTTTTTCAAAGCTTGTGAAGGTGTTTGCGCGATGCACAATGGTCTCAGAGAAAAACCGGTGACAGGCCTCTCACAAACCTGAAAAGTACTTGAATTCTAGGGAGAGTCCTTGAAAAGTCCTTAAATTTCTTCAACTTTGAATGAAGCGGAGCCGAAAGGGAATTATTTGCACGGAGTTTGGTATTCTTTTCCTTTGTGAAGCAGCTTTAAACACTGTGACACTCGGGTGTAAAAGCAGGTAGAAAGAGAAAGTGAGAAGAAAAGAAATCCAAATGCGCACTTAAGTTTCAAATTTTAGTCAAAAGAAAAATTAACTCTTGATGCTCCTGTTCATGCTTCATGATTTTTATCAGAGTTGCATGCTTTCCTGGCTTCCTCGGCAAAAAAGTAATGCCGGGAAAGTGTTTTAATGCTTTTTGGTTGTCCAAGACGGGAATACAGATCCTGGTCAGATCATGCTGCAAATGAAGCGAAGTCGTTCGCATCCAAGTTAAGTCTACTCCGACGCATGCGATTCCTCCCTCAGAAGCAATTAGAAGATTTCTACACAAAAGTGATACTGCTATCAGTTACATACGTTCTGACAGTGTGGGGATCGTGCAACAAGACGCACCTAAACAACCTAGAGAAACTCCATGTAAGGGCTGGACGGATTGTATATGGGCTGCCATGGGACACCAGCGCTGAAGATGTCTTAATGCGAACTGGATGGGATAGTCTGGAAACAATGTACAAACTGCGACTAACAGAGTTTGTCTCCAAGTGTTTAAAAGGTTACACCATCACGGAATTTAAAGATTTGTTTCTACAGAGGAATTCAGGCCGCAGAACTGAGAACATCATTCTTCCAAGACCAGAAACAAATTTTATCAGGAACTCCATACGCTTTAGAGGAGCAATCGCATGGAACACCTTAACGAACAAGGAAACAAGGGCCAAAACCTTGAGAGAATTTAAACGCTGTCTTGTAAAATTTGATACCGATAAAATGCATTTCGAATCAATCTTAGCTACTACTAAAAATAGAGATATCGGATACGAATCCTTTAAGAGTTTTAGTTCTTAATTGTACATTTTCACGACCTATTTTAAACATTTTTAACAGTTTTTAATTTTTAATTGTACATTTGCTTTTAGTACTTCTTATTTTTCTTGTAATTGTTAGTATGCACGACCCCACCAGCAATGCTGATCTTTTTATCGTGCTAAAATAAAGTTCTTACCTTACCTTACCTTAGCTCAGAGAAAAATAAAGCGTGCGTTTGTGGTTTTATGCAAAAAGTAACGATCAGTTTACGACAAGGGAACTGAAAAATGTAGTTGAAGTTCTGTTAGCGTGGCCTGGGAGAGTGTCTTTATTTTGCATCTTTGGAGCCTGAGTGATGAGATGCATATTTCATTTTAGTCAAAAACTTAGTTTCCCTTTTAACGAGGGTGAAGGTGGTATCTAAAGTGGATTTTTACCCTAAATCTTTACAGCGAATACAATGTAGACTTATAGATATATATTGCCTTCAAATTAACTGAGATATGATTTCTCGCAGTAGCCAAGATCCTAGGGACTTTCTTCTTCCCGGATTAAGAAATCTCCTCCGTCTGTCGTTACACACGCGATTTTTGAGCTTTACACTCAGTTTTCGCGCTTCACGCTCGCGCACCCTTTTTCACGCATCTAGCTTGCGCTGCTTTTAATTCGCAGTTCGAATATTTTAGTGGGCAAGTCTACCGAGATACTTGTATCCTCTGTACCTTTGTTCTTGAAAAATATCAGTTATGGTTAATACCTGGATATAAGGTACGGGAGGAGGGAGCTTTCGACCCCCATGTCTATACCCATCTCAAAAGTTGTTGTTCATCCCGGTATATGTATGACAAGGTTACTTCTCGTGAGCGAAATGATAATCTAGCTATCACACAGAACTTACTTGGTCTGTTTAGTCGACGTCAAGTCTTTTTTAACATTTACAAGTTTCAATGAATGTCCTCTTCATATTTCTTACCGTAAAATTCCGAAAATAAGCCCTGGGGCTTATAATTTCAAAGGCTCTTTTTGAGGGGCTTATATACGGAGGAAAATTTGCGCTTCAAAATCGATTGGGCCAGCCTTATAGTTGGAAGTAAATTTACCGTTTTTACTTTGTTTTACTTTGTATTTGACGGCAATTTTCCAGGTACAGGCCCCCGGGGGGCTTACATTTGGAGGAGCGATTTAAGGGAGGGTTTTTTGCGTTATCGGTTTGGCGGGCTTATATTTGGAGAGGCTTATACATGAAAGGGCTTATTTTCGGAATTTTACGGTATTTTTGCGTTAGTCCAAAAAAGACATTTTTAGTCATGTGAAGAGGCAAATAGGTGGTGACAAATTTCAAAACTCGCCAATTTAATTTCTGCATCCAAGTTGCCCAAGTGCAGCAATTATCTTTCCGTTTTATAATTTACAATTTTATCAACGGAAATTGGTTTCTGGAACAGAGAGATTAACAATAATTTTAATTTTGACGTCATTGATTTTCATCAGATTGATTTCCATTGTTTTGGGAAGACCGCCGCAAAAAGCGGGAAAATGTACGCGGGAATTTTACTGTAAACTTGACACATCGTGAACTTGATCAGGAAATGGTTTCCCAGACAACGTTCTAGGCCTTTCAGAATATCGTTTTCTTTTCGAGTTCGGAGTATTTTAACAGCCTTAATTAAAAGTTGGATCTATTAACGCTCTGCAAACTCTGAAAAGAATCGGATTGTTTGTTGGTGTTTGACAGTTTAACACAACATAGGCTTAATCGTTGACACTTGAAGCAATTAGCTAGTAAACAATCTGTAAATTGCTTTTTTTAAAAAGCTGCTCAATTCTGTCAGTGGTATTTGTCCTTGTGGTTCAATGTATGGAAATTTTTTAGCTAACATGCTAATTAGCTCCAAAATGTTTGACGCATTCTTTGCTCTTAAAACGTATACATTATTTTAACATCGACCGATTGCACATCGCGTGAAAAGTTCTTTAGTGCTGGCAAACACGTTTGGTAGCCCGGCATAATTTGATTTGATTTTCCTGCTTCAAAAATATCTGACTACTTCCTCTTATTGAGAACTGTGTTACGCCACAAGAAACATTCAACGTCACGCGAGAAGGAAAGCTAGACTAAAGCTAAAGAGGTAGGTATTTTCTTTGTTGTATATTCTCGCTTAACTAAATGCATTTCCTTTTTTGCGTTCTTTTTATTGCGGTAAACTGAAGACTTGAGCTTGTAGGTGATTGTAGGTGATTTGTATTGGGCTAAACGTTCACTGACAGATAAACTCGTAACGAAGGCTTTGCTTAGGGCTGACAATCGATGGCCGGAATCGAAACGTCACTAAAATGGCTAAAAACGTTACGTTTATAACGTTTCTGTTACAAACGAATCGCGCCTAACATGTTGTGGTATATTACAAGGGGACTCTTTGAAAAACGCGAACTGTTTGATAAATTTCGCTTCAAATGGTAGTCCAGCTCGGCTTCAACGCAGTCGGCCGCTTGTAACACTGAATGTGCTGACTCTGAAATGTCATAAACCAATATAAATTAATGGTCTTAAGAAGGGACTGGCTTATTTTGAATAAAGGTGTTTTAAAAAGTATAGATTCCTCCTGAGTTTAAAGGTGATACCCCAGTACCCTCTTTTTTTTTTCTATAAGAATAAATTTTATTAGAATATGGAGGCTAAAATTTGCTAAAGTTTAAGAGTATTTTAAGAATAAACCCCAGGCTGAGGTTTTAAAAAGGATATAATTTTGTGTGTTCAAAAAGTGTAAATACACTGAGACATGCAGCTTCGGCATATTTTGACAATTTTTAACATCTATTCCGCCCTGTATTAACAGCCATCCTTCATGGGAACATTTACCATTTGCATGCAAACTGAGAGGAATTATCCCCATTTTTTATGACCATGTTGAATTAAGCTCTAGCACCATACCTGTCGTGTAAATTTGGCGGTCAAAAGCAAAGATTTATTGTAGATTGGGCTAGAACTGTTTGTAATTGGATGTATTTGTTAATAAATGCTTCTATCTGTTCTTGATTATAGAAGATTCTTCACATACCTGAATTACATCATCCTGTGCGCAGTGAAATGACCATTGATAAAATGCCTGTTTTGTAATTTTGAGTGTGGTGCCGTCTCAGACAGACTACACTATTGTTTATAAGAATGTTTTTTTCTCTGCCTAGGCTGAATATTCGTATTTTTCTGCCGATTTTAGGTTGAAATATTCTTGTATTATTCTTAAATTATAGCTTATGACATTTCCGTTTTAGAATGTATTGGGGTATCAAGTATAGTTAGTGCAGTTTTTTTCGTCTTGTTGGCAGGTTTTGCGTTGAAAGAATAGAATAAGTTGAAAACATATAATTGTATTGTGCAGTCGTCGGCCCCGTTTAGGTTTGACTCGTTAAGATTAAGAGATTACTCGTATAATTGAGAGTCAACAAATTGCGATGGCAACTTATTTACGTCTTAAATGAGCTCTGAAAAGACAAAGAAACTCTGTTGCTGTACTCTAACATGAGTCACGTTTGAGTAATATTTGAAAATGCTAGAGTTTGTACTGGCTGTGTAGAATTGCACGTATGATTGACTCGCTGCGCCTTAAATCATTTCCGTCAGTGCTTCCGTCATCTTTCTTGTAAATCAGAAAACGGGTGTAAAACCCCACTACAGTTCATGGAATAAATTGCATTTTTAGAAGCATTGACCCCTGATCCCTCATTAATTAGGACATCCCTTCAGTTTCCTAAAATCAGGAGCCAAGCACTATCTACTAAAACACCACTTGTTCTCAAACTTTCCCGTTTACTGCCAGGAATTACTCAGTGCTCTTTTGTTGCGGTACTTTGTCGTAGTACGACAGAACAATACTGTGATCTAACTGCTCTCTTCTCCACAGAGGCTCCAGCTGGATGCATTCCAAAAACCTAATTATTACAAAAAATAAGGTACTAAGCGCGGGACGAAGGAAAAGGCAGCATCCTCAAGGCTTCTTCCTTCTTTCTCCCCCTTCGCACCCGCCCCAGCTAGGGCGCTTTATTTTCCTCTCCCCTACCTCCCTGAGATTTAAAGAGACCTCTGGGGAGAAGAAAAGACCTACAGTACTACCGTAAGTAACCAAAAGGTTGGAGATTCCAAACGCCCCATCCCCTCCCCTCCCTTTAACCAAGTGAATTCGGATAACGTTTTCGGGTGCTTTCCACAAGCAGGTTATGTTGCTTTCTTTTTTCCATTATTTCTTCATCCAGGTTTGCAACTGGCCTTAACGCATTTTGTGTCTGTGAGAAACAGCAATGGCAAACAATACAACTGACGCTAACGAGCAAGGAATGTCATGTATTCTCACCGAAGATCCCATGGAGGCAAAAATCTGCAAAGCACTAGCTTACTCTCTTCTTCTCGTCTTCTCTCTTCTTGGAAATACCTTGATCATCATGGTCGTCTGTAGAGATGACAAAATGAAGACGACCACGAACCTACTCATTGTAAACATGGCAGTTTCCGATCTTTTGGTTCCCGTCTTCGCCATGCCTTGGGCAAACGTCGAGATATTCTACGGAAATCTCCGATGGCTTATCGATGGCGCGTTTGGGGAGGCTCTTTGCAAGCTCACAGCGTTTTTTCAAGATATATCGACGGCAGTATCAGTTCAGAGTTTGGTCGTCATTTCCGTGGAACGCTTTTACGCCGTGTGGTTTCCATTAAAAGCGATTCGTATCAAACCAAGAGTAAAATACGTTATTTTATTCATATGGTCCACTTCATTACTAATTCACGTCCCATATCTGTACGGTTTCAGAATAGGGACATTTAATGGACAAACCTACTGTTATGTGGCTTGGTCGCGCCCTGTAACAAAAATCGTCTTCTTGCTATTGATAATAATAATATATATAATACCTCTAGGGGTGATAACAACTCTGTATAGCCTGATAGTCCAGAAGCTTAGAGGACAATCATTCTATGGGGTGAGAAACTTAGTAATCCACTTTAGTCAGCGAGAAAAGAGAAATCGCAATGTTTTAAAGATGTCACTGGCAATCATTGTAGTGTTCTTTCTCTCAATGTCCCCGTTTGTTGTATATCTCTCAATTGATATATTCAGTGATGGAAGAGTGTGCCTTTCGAAGAACTTTCGCTTCATTACTCAATATCTTGTCCATTGTAACGGTGCCTTAAACTTTTTTACTTACTTTACTTTTAATCAAAGCTACCGTCGTGGTGTCTCCAAAATACTTTCCCGAGTTTTTTGTCCTTGTTTTTCCTTCTTTGGACGAAGAAAGGAAGTAGACCTAAGTCACCATCTTCAGGGCTTAGAGTCTTACGGATCGCATGCAACTATTAACACTGGATTGGACTGTGACAGTAAGAATATTGTCCTCACTAGAGTTTTTTCACTGGAGAAATCGAGCCAAAGTTCGTTGAGAATGGTAGAACTAGTTAATTCACAGACACTCTCATAATATAACGATGCAAACTGCGAGGATGAAACAGTGGCTTTTAATGGATTTCAAGGCCTCGACAATATGACAAACCATTCACATTACTGATAATGACTCTAACCCTTTAAGGCAGTTGGGGTCTCTGAAATTTCACATTGAACTGCTCTAATGCATGTGATCTTAATTGAAACATGGTTAGATCTGTGGAAAATTTCGCGTCGTTAAATAATGGACCAAACCGCCGATAAAACTGCAGGACAAGAAGCTCAACACTGCAAAAGTGAGATACAATAACAAAAAACACTCAAGTGTACCAAGCAAGCCTCCTTCGCAGGCATCAAAGTCCCGTTTTAGAGATCGAGTGGGAGAATGGGGAGAGAATAGTTTCCTGGGAGGCGTTATTGGGTTCGGTACGAAATGCTCCTCCCCACTAACGTCACTCGTCCAAACTTAGTGGGGAGGAGCGTTGCTTGACTACCCTAATAACGGCTGCGAAGGAGACTAGGGAGAGAACGGAGAGGGACACTGATATTTTTCTAACGTTCTCGTCCTCAGACTCCTCAAGGTTAAAGTAACCGGAGATGCCTGCGGAGGAGGCTAAAGTGTACCGGAGTCGTTTGGTACGCGGGTATAGAGTTAGGAAAATTTGTATTTTTAGATTAAAAAACCAAGAAACAAACAAAAGCAAAACAAAAAACGTTGAGAGTAAAGACACAACAACAAAATTAAAAAAATATAGTTTACAAAACAGCAGTCGCTTTAAGCTTTTTTTTTTTTTAACAAAATGTAAATCTTAACATAATATAGGTACAAATTCTGTAATTCAATTAATTAACAAGTTAATTAAGTGCTGGAAATCTTTTAATATCGGTTCGCCTTTGTTAACGTAGAAAGAATACGGAGTTTAAGAGAACCTCAAGTGTAATAAAAATCTGACACTAACGCTTAATTTCAACTCTGTAATTTTTCTACGAAAGGGATCGATGGATTTAAATTTACCAGAATATCGGCTACTTTCGCCTTCTTTCAGCGAGCTATTGTCAAGAATCGACGTTTTTTGTACGCATCAATGGCCGGAGCAAAATGTTTTCAACAATTACAAAATAATATGTCGCGTGGAAAATTTCATAGCAAAAATAGGCGATTTTTGTTTGCTGGCATCCACTTTTATTTTGAACAGAGTTTCGGTCAAATTGTTGTAACAATGAAACTTCAAAGCTTCCTTTGAAACCTTTCACTCCAAAATGTAGCCAAAGTAATAAAACATTCAACAAAATTTCAGAATTTCTTTTTGTAAAATGATGAACACAAAAAGTACGGACAGTTCTACCAAAGAGGTTGCATTAGTATGGTAACACCATAGGATCTCATGCACAGATTTCAATTTACTAGAACTACATAATAAATAGTACCATGTAAAAGTACTGCTGAAGAGGTTTCATTTAAATGATAACACCATAGGATTTCATCCACAGATTTTAATTTACTAGAACTACATACTCAATAAATAGTACCATGTAAAATAACTTCTGAAGAGCTTTCATTTGAAAACATACGATTTCATCCACAGACTCAAAAGTTAGAACTACCTAGCAAGACTCCATCACTCTCTCACTGGGAGAGAAAGGGTTATAGTCTGTGGCAATCATTAGTGAGTTTACGCAAAGGAGGGTACAGTTTGGCGAAACGTTTCTTCAAATAAAATTATTCAGGGTCACGCTTGTCACACAAGGTTTGCCGTCTTCTTTCCTCTCCCGTCCTGTTGCGTAAGTTCACTAATCAAGGGCGCTTACCTTCTAGGCCGTTTGGCGAACGCGTTATTGAATGACCCTTTTTCTGTTCAGTTAGAGAACGTTAGAGAAATGACCAGCTAAAGCATTAAGGAAACGATAGGGCTCACACAGTCCTATGACGTAGTGACCCTGTACAAAAATGCCTAAGAATAAACTGTCCAATCCGATGCACTTTGTAAAAACAAAGTAACGTTAAAATCTCTACAAAATCTCAAAACTACTTTAAGACTGTCGGATTGTTGGGTTACTATTTTTAACTTTTTGACAAGGCCATGAGCAAAATCAGACTATGACAGTAAAATTCGACATAATTTTAAGCTAATAAACCACGAACTCGTTATCTAATTTCCGGTTATCTTTCTCAGATGCAATTTTAACGCACACTGAAACAGATAAGCCAATAGAGACAACTCTGGGTTGATCTAATCTTACGTTGACTTATGTTTTATTTTCTCCAGCCAAAAATGGAAACCAGAGATTGAATTATTATAATATTTTCTAAGAAACGAAATTATCACGAGAGTGGGAGACAGAAGTCCAAGGACAGCAGATCTGGAAATGCCCGCCTTTATGAGGAGATGGTGTATGTTTTTGTTTTTTATCCGTTCTTAACCTTAAATTTGCGGTAACTGAAAAAGTCATCATGTCATGTTAAATGAAAAAAAAAAAAAAAAAAATGAAGAAAACAGACGATGTATATGACAGTTAACAGTTAACACTAAAGTTGATAGATTTTCACCTTGTTACTCGATTTCTGAAACTATACATAATTCTAGTGTTTTAGTTTTTAAAAAAAACTGCAATAAGCATTAAAAATCGCTTCTTTGCAGTAAAGAAGTCACGACATTATGACCTGTAATTTGCAGTTAACCAAACCGTTTCGATCAGTAATCATTGTTCACAAACGAAGGCGGAGAGCAAGAAGTTCTTGTTGTAATCTCATTTCTTGCAATATAAGAGCCCTAATTAATGATGAGTCTCATTTGCCTTCATCGTCAAGTTTCTGGCTTACAGTCCTATTCATGATTTTTCCAAAAAGCTGAGGCACTCTTTCGATTGACTTTGATCATTGTTTTCTACCCCACGAGATGAACAGAACAACTACGATTTTAAAACTGACTGGTTAGTCTGTGTATTTCAAAGCTCACCGGTGACCGGCCTGTGGCTCTTCTGCATGATGCTTTTAATGTCCGACTTCATTTATGGATACCAGATGCTAAACCTTATTGATCAGTCTCGGAATTTTCTGATTCATCTCCATCACTGTCTTCACTGTGGTCAGAAAGACACATATAATACATCTCTTCCAGTACTTTTGAAGTGTCCGTTTCCTCAGCGATCTGTTCAACATTAGAGCAAGCTGCTCCAGTGAGGGTTGACGCATTGTGCCTCTTCATCATTCCTTGTGGTTTCAATTGAAATGACAACATCTCAGATTTTAATCCGAAAAGTTTCACACTGAAGAATTGTCCAAAGGAAGTACAACCAACAGCTTTGTCCTCCTTGGGGGACACAGTCATGAAAGTAATGTTTTCGCGCTCTTGTGGCATTCTAATAAAAGAAATGGCTGTCCCCTCACGTAAGTCCCACAAGAGCACAGCACCATCAATACCATAGGAAATTATGTAGCGATTCCCTTTCAAAAACCGACAAAATTCGATTTTACCTAAATGGGCGCGAGGTAGCTTCACAACGGGCTGATTGGTAGGAGCGTTAAACAAGAAGACAAGTATTCTGTCCACGACACAACACGCCAGTAGATCATTGTTGCGTGACAGTGTACAATAGGTGATCTTGTCATCTTCGCTATAGAGCACGTCGATAGCCAGTCTTGACGACGGATAACTTGCACTCGTCGCAAGATCCCAGATCTCAATGTAAAGCTCATTGCACAAAAGCACTTTATAATCTTCCGTAACGCAGCAGCAAAAATCCTCAGAAACAACAGGTGGGTCAAATGATGCTAACATTTCTCTCTTTTCAACGTCCCACAAGTAAAAAAAACCACTCCTGATACAAAAAAGAAGGAAGGCACTGTTAACCGAGAATGTAAGTTGAAGGACACTGAGTTCGTAGTCAGCTTCAAAAACTGAACAAACAAACCTACAACAGTCTTGTCCGATTGTATCGTGCAACGTTATCACAGTGCCATGGTGAGCGGCAATCAGCTTTCCGTCCGAAGAAAATGCGCATTTCTCCACTTGCCAAGACCCAAGCGAACCGATGTTAGTACATCGATTGCCGGTTGCATGAAATGACATAACTGATGAATCCTCGCAAAGAACCAGGAAAATGTCATCTGAAACGAAGTTTGCTTGCGTTGGTTTTTCCACTGGTGGAACGAGAAAATGTTGCAAAAACTCACAAGGGAAGTCTTTCAAAAACAGAGTTTTACACTCGTCATTGACCAGAAAATGAAAGCCAACTTGACCCTTAGCAATAAAGGATAAGGAGCTAACTCCTGAGATGCTTTGTAGAATGGTACCCGATTGGAGATACAGGGCGTGAAGTGAGTTGTGAACACTCAAATACACGAAAAATAAGAGGTCATTTGTGAAACCAAATTGGGCGACCTCCTTGATGACGTATTCTGGGTTGTTGGAATGTTGCTGCTCATCTTGTCTTCCACGAAACAAGTACACTGTTCCTTCATCATAACCAACTGCAGGTTTGGCCACCCACACCCCTCCTGGTGAGAAGCAAGGTATACTGTCAGAAAAAAACTCTTTTTTGCCTTCATCAGGGAGATTTTCCAGTTCTGACGCTATTGTGGATGAAAGAGTGGATAAGACAGACGCCTTTTCTATTGCTTCATGAGTGTCACCGTTGGATAAGTCGGTAAATGTATAGGTCGATAAGGCTAACGCTTTCTCTATTTCTTCAAGAGAGTCACCGCGGAGTAAGCCCGACGTGAACAATTCGAATTGAAGTGCCTTGTTGAAGGTGTAAAGAACAGACGTGGTGCCTGTCTGGAGACAGAGGGCGCATAGCACAAACCTATCTCGCATATAAAGGACAACATTGTCATCCACAGGAAAATAATTTAGGCACTCTCCCTGGCTAACGGCACTTTCCAAATCATGGCGAAATACGCTACCTTTATCCACCCGGAAGTTAACTTTTCCATCGGGACCAGGAGTTTGCCAGTTGTTTATCAGTGTTGGTCTGAGTGAAAACGAAAGATATCGGGAAAACTTGGTAAAAAGATAGCGTGTTAGTAATCTACTTTCACGGAAAAGGAGGTGATGACAAATAGTGCTTAGTAGAGCAATACTGGGGAGTGACAGAGCTTTACCAATGCCGGTAAACAGTGTTCCACATATCTCAAATGCCGTGCCTAGGTGACAAAAATGAATAAATGGACTCACCTCCTCACCGAAAGATGAGGCTAAATCAAGCACAGGTTTACCCGTTTGCCTATCCAAAACTTGATATTTAAATATCTCAGAGTAGTGGTAAATAACAAACTGACGAACTTCTTCCAAGGTTAATGCTTCATAGTCTTTTGCTGTTTTACAGCTCTCACAGTCTGAAACCAGAAACGTTCCATCTCCTCTATTAAGTTGTACCTTTTCTAAAAGTGAACACCATTCTTTGCACTTCATTTCGCCAAGGAGATTTAACAATGGCCTCATTGCTGTAATGCGTGAACCGGGGTGCGCTTCTAATTGGGGGTGTTTTCTTGTCACTTTCAGCTTGTGAGGAAAACATTGACATAAGGGTTCTCTTTCACGGCTCTGTGCAATTTCCAATTTGGCCCACAAACAAAGGTGATTCAAAAGGCAAAGCCAGCAAGTGGGAGTAAGGAACTCTTTGAATTTCACCACGATGTGTCGTCGATCAAGGGTAAACGAACACCATTCACATGGAAGATCAACTGTCTGTAATGGGAAATATGTTTCAATACCTCCTCGCTCCACCGAGAACGCTCTATCAATTTTTCCAAAGAAGACAAAATTGCCACAGGAAGAAAATGCCAGACGTTTTACATCTGCCAATTCTTTTGCTTCGACTGGGCCAAATAACCTTTTAAGGGAGCCTGAATTATACAACGAAATGAAACCGTCTTTGACTTCGGCTAGTAACTTCCTATCAGGAGAAAAAGCAAAGCAACTCGTGACCTTGTTGCCACGAGTGGCTTTAGGAACAGGGAAAGGAAACCATCTCCACTCCATCCAAGTGGTGGATACTCCATCGGGAATTGTTATGTTTAATTTGACAGCTTTGGACGCCATTCGCAGGCAGGAAGGCAGAAGATGTGGACATTCCAGAAGAGTATGGATATTTCTTTCCAGTGCTCTGCAAACTCCTTGCAGAGTTTCCTTTTCTGTATCAGAAAGATTCTGACAACCAGCAGAAAGCTTGAGATCAGCAATCACAGAATAAACGCCAATCCGGCTTTTCTGTATCCTCTTCTGAATAAACTGGTAGCTTGTCAAGAAGTTGTGAGCGATCTTCATCGAATCTCTGTCATCGCACTTACACAAAAGACGAACTCCGACATGCCAGACGTAGTCCAGTAAATCTGTTTCAATTGAAGAATGTTTTCCTGATGAAACGTTGATCACACTGGAAGGAAGAAATTCCAAAACAATTTTCTTCAAGTACTCCCGTGCCACTGAAATATCGACAAAAAATCGCCGAGCTTTGTTCCTGTCGGTCAGCCAGGACGGGATTAAGTTGTGAAGAAAGGTAAAGGTCAGATCGGACGCTCGGTGTACCAAAAATATTGAAACGATGTCAATAACTTCTTGCTCGTCCAGTTTTGATTTTTCTCTCTTTAGAAGGAATGAAATAAATGACCACGGAAGAGGAGAAGGAGAAGCTGCAACACAACCGAACAAAGTTCTGAAGAGATCTGCTCCCACTTTATCACAAATCCGCTTGAAATTCACATGAAAAAAATAATCAATATCCCCTGGAAAAAGTTCATTCAGTTCACCACTGTTACCTGAACATGCTAAATTATTTAGTACTTCCACCATGTAGAAAGCATACAAGAACAGTCCATTGCACTTCTTTGTTACGTCTTCAACAGAGTAGCTGAGACGGGAGAAATCGACTCTTTTCGCCAAAAATCGTTCTATGTCCTGTTCGTGCTGCTGATAATCATCAAGATGTTTCCCGTATCCTACGCATATTTTAACGCACGGGTTGTAATTTTTCAGTGTGACCTGCACGGTATTTTCAGGGCGACTGGTGATAAAAAACAAAAGCCACTCTGGAAGCCGGGGAAAACGGTGCATAACCAGATCAAGAAAATCTTCCCTGGACTTATACTCTGTCTCATCTAGAGCGTCAATAATGACTAATTTTCTTTGTTCACAAGGCGTGCACTTACCTAAAGGTTCTTGTAACAGTTTTGTAAACAATCCCGGGATACCGCTTAGTTTACTATTGGCTAATGTCATCCTTATACCACCCTCCCCTCCCACTATATTACTGTATTGGACATTACATTTACAAAGTTGACAAGCTATAGTACCTAGAAGATTTCTGGGATCATTTCTTGTCTCGTCATTGTGGCGACAAAAGTAGGCAGCGCCTAAGTACCCATCATCCTTTGCCCGCTTTGCCAGGGCTCCTGCTATTACACTTTTGCCAACTCCCGCATCACCCAGGAGAACATAAGCTCTGGAGTCACAAGGAGCATGGAACCACTTGTTAATACTTTCAAACAGCCAGTCTCTCGTGTCTGCATCGTGTCGCTCGACAAAAAAGGCGATATCGGCCTCAAAATTGGAAATTTCTACAAGGCAAAAAGGAAGAAAACACAAAAGAGCTTCGTCGGTTGGTGGAACACGAATTATAAGACACTGGGATAATGTCCGAGTAATTTCTGTTCTGTGCTTCATAGATGTCATCACGCTCCTCTTACCAGCTTACAAAGCGTGACCTGGACTGTTAGCACTCGTTTCCATACTCCAGAATGACATTTTCCTCTAAGTGGCTTTCACAAGACATTTCAGTTTTCTTACATGAAGTTTGTATGTCTCTTGAAATATTTGCCTGATAAAAAATGTTCATGAAAGTGTCCATGAAAGTCTACTCTCTTTAATTTTTACAAGGAAAGAAAAAAAAAAAGAAAAAAAAAAAATAAGAGAGGAAAAAAGAAAGGAAAAAACTGAAGGAAAAAAAATTCAGGATGGCAGGATTCGATCCGGGCGCATCGGATCTGCTAGTCTCAGGGCTTCACCTAATCAATATTGATAGTCAATGTAGTCAATGTTAGTCAATGCGGTTCCTTTCTCAACCTCGCTCCCAGGGTTCTCTCTTACCCGCCCTTTGCCGTAGGGCAGGTAGGAGGGACTCTGGGAACGAGGTTGTTCCTTCCTTTGAAGAGAATTAGCTTATGTATAAATCATAATGTGTCTCTGTCACTCTAGAGTATGGAAAGGAGTGTTGACATGATTTCCCAAAAAATTCTGTTTAAGTTCGTCAAACAGTTTTCCGCTCATCAATACCTCGCATAAAGTAAAACTACCCAAACGTTTTTAAGCGCCATACCCTGCAAATATTTTTAATTGGGAGGGTGGGGTAAAGGTGGTTAGACAAAATTTTCTTTCAAATCTTCTAGTCAAAATTACACGGAAAGAAACATATTCATTGATGGTTTGTAAGATCTCTTCCCCCTCTGTCCTCTTGCACCAGACAAGCTTTAAAGTTAGTCACAAGTGCTACAAAAACGGCTTAGCCTGTTCCAGGCTCCAAGGTGACGGTAGTAATGTACAGAGATCGTGAAGACTGATGGGAAAACGTTTGGGGCGGTTCTTTTCTAGCCTGTTCCAGGCTCTCAGATAATGGGGAAGACGCGAAAGTAAAAGGCAGGGGAAAAGTTGGCGGGGCAAAAAAGAGGAAAAGGAAGGGAGAGAGAGCCTGTAACCATTTCTTCTCAGACCCTTTCCGCCCACTTTTGGCACGTTTGAGATAATTAGATTTCGGCTTTCAAATAGCCTGTGGGCAAGCTCTCCTGTTTGGGCGAGCGAAGCGAGCCTCGCGAGAACGCACGAGCGAGGGACCGAGGAAAGGACAACTTGCAACGATCTCTCATAAAGTTTCATTTCCGCCCCTGAAGCCCCGGGACTCTGCAAAGCGTGAACAACCGCCTGTCAAGTTTAGACAGCCGAGGGCGCGTATAATAATTAATTTGTTAATCAGTTTCGCAACAGCATCAAAACAATGTTTTTAATCACGGAAGATATGCTTTTTTTTCCACGGGACATCGAACTTCAACGTGTCCGCTGGGATGAGAACTCAATACTTTGATTCTCGTTTCGTTTACGTTTGAAAAGTCGTCCATACTGCAGTGTAGAAGACTACTCCCCGTCGCAATCACCAACAAAAACATTATATATTAATAGACGTTTTGTCCGTTCGGGAACTGGAGAATAGGGTTTTCTTGGACTTGGTTCTCTTAAGTTGTACTCCAGTTGTTACCAACTCTTTCTCTTGCCCTTCTTTACAGTCAAGCTACACAGCTACACTGTCAAGTACATGTTTCTGACTTTTTCTACCCAGTATTCAATCGGGCGAAGAAACCGACGTTAGAAGGCAGCGCTTGAACCGGGCGCTTGAATCTCTTTCCACTTTCACTCTTCTCGTTTTCAGAACTAAACAAGGCGCTTGACACAAGCGAATACAACTGAGAAAGGGTTTTCATTTTCCTTCCACAAGAACTATAAACTCGGTCCGACTTATCCTCGGCTCGCAATATTCTCTTTGCGAGAACTAAATCAAACGAGCTCCCACGTCTGCTTTGAGGGCTGAAACAAGTTGTTGGTACCACAGGCGGCCCAAACTCACGTTACGAGGAAAGGGTGTAATGTAATTTACATGCCATAGGTGACGCGCCGGTGTCGCCTTACAGGCGACCGTTGAAAATATAAGAGACTTCGTATGAGAAATATATTACTGACATCTGCGAATGCTACATAACGCTAAACCTTACTTTTTCTTAAATGAAATGAATAAAAAAGACTTACTTGCAATTTATTCCACTGCGTTTTGGCGTCTGATTGTCGTTTACTGGTTTTTTTGGCTTTATTGCGTAACCACTGTTACTCTTTTCATAGAACGACGTGAAGGCTGGTCACTTCGATCTGTCGGGGTTTTGGACCAGTCGCAACAAGAATGCCGTTTTTTTCGCCGAAATTCAAATCCACTGCAAACTTTTCAGCTCCAGCCCAAGAGGGAAACCTCTTCTTCCTCTCTGGGAGATCAGCTCGAAAAAAGATCCATAACTTCCCCATCAAATCGAGCCATTTGCGCAGGACTTCGAGGCACGTCTGGCTTTCGTCCAGTGCCTGTGACCACTGTCACGCTTACCAACTAATTTGCATTATGACAATTAGCACTTACACGACGGGTGCAAGCACTCGCTTTTTCACAGTGCAAGAGTCTAGTTGACGTGTCATTTCCGCCCTGGCACCCGTCGTGTAAGTGCTAATTGTCATAACGCAAATTAGTTGGTAAGCGCGACAGTGGTCACAGGCACTGGACGAAAGCCAGACTGCCTCGAAGTCCGGCACAAATGGCTTAAGAAAAAGTAAGGTTTAGCGTTATGTAGCGTTCGCAGATCTCAGTAATATATTTCTCATACAAAGTCTCTTATATTTTCAACGGTCGCCTGTAACGCGACACCGGCGCGTCACCTATGGTATGTAAAGTACATTACACCCTTCCCTCGTAACGTGAGTTTGGGCCGCCTGTGTTGGTACCAATCTGATCCCCCTGAGAACCAAACTTGACACGCTGACGAAGGAGGTGCCAGCTTGGCCTGTTATCAATCAACTTTGTTTTCTGGAAGGTCATTTTTCAGCCAATGGTATTTCCCTTCGTCTGAGCGAAGTACAAACGAAATTTTGTGAGAGATCTTGCAAGCTCTCTTTTCCTCTGCCCCTCGCTCGCGCGTTCTCGCGAGACTCGCTTCACTCGCCCAAATAGGAGAACTTACTCGCAGGCTAGCTGTCAAACTGTTGAAATGTCAATGAGATGCAATCTTTCTCACATTTCTCGCGAGACTGTTTCGCGCGGCGCTAATCGCTTATGCGAGCGTGAGCAATCTAGAGTGTAAAAAGCGGGTCGGTAGGCAACACACGACTTTTACCTCGTGCCAAAATACTGTTTGTTCCAATGAATATTTTGTCTTTCGGGTAGATTATGCTCTGGAGGGGTCTACTTTTAAACTGAGCAATCTATGTTGCCGCTTGTTTCATGCTGAGAGGTCGCGACACGCATATTGATTTTCTGCGGTTGTTTCTGGTCGGCTCGGCATGATTGATGATTTTCCCTCTGATGCAAGAGCATTTTCTTTGACCTCTTTTGAAACAGAGAGTTCTTCTTCATTGTGGCTAAATAAGGGTTTCAGGTTGTTTTAATTTTCTCCAAAGTCCCTCCTTGATCTGAATAACTGAAAGCGATTTCTTTTGTCCGTGAATGTGACGTTTTCCTAATATGATTTTTTTCACGCTGAGCCCAGCTCGTTAGTGTTTTTGTTAAATTCTCACGGTTAGTGATTCATAGATCCAAATTTCGAAGAATGGATTGCAGCTTAAACTGAAGCTACTTTAAATATGAAGAACTACGTTGTGAGTCAGTCAAGATTGCTCTCAGCTCCAGCTTGTTCTTCTACAGAGATCTCTAGATAACGTGAGTCTGGACTGGAGCGCGTAGATAACTCCTTCTTGCGACTGTTCTGTTATTGCCACTTTGTTATCAGCCAAGACCGAAGCCTGTCGGCAGGATTGCAAAAACATATTTTCCATGCGCCAAGTTCACAAGGTAGGTCTTCTGTTCTTCCTCAGCGCTCCTATGTGCGGGAAATCTTGTAAACATTTGTTTAACACAGAAGTTATTAGTGGATTCCTCAATTTCACGCGCGTGGACGCCACATGCCATCTTTCTGAGTGACAGGAACGACCCGCTTTGAGAGTGTTGATATAATCTGTCAAATCTGACCAATCAGAGGGTATACCAGGAGCTGGTATACTGGAACGGGTCGTTTAAAGAAATGATTACAGGCTCCGCCGCCCCTTCTCTCCCCAGTTTCCTCCCGTTTTATTTTCGTGTTCGCGCTTTGTCAATTCAGCAGGCCCGACTATCTTGGAGCATGGAACAGGCTACTTCTTTTCCCACCGTCGCTCCCCTCCCCAGATCACGCGCATTCTGTTTTCGCTTGATCTTGTTTTCGTGACGTCCCTACTATCTGCAAGCCTGGCAAGGCTACAAAAGGCGTGTTTCTGTACGAGACCGTTTCCTCCCTTTCAGTATTGCAATGTGTAGGTCGAGTCAGTGGATTCTCCCGAATATCTGGTGCTTTGCTAAAATTAACTGATTTTACAATAAATATTACTTAAGTATCACGTGACAGGGGAAATGCACTCTCACCTAAATCAAATTTATCCGCATAAAAATGGGAAACAAAACGGAATAAGAATATTCATTCAAATAATATTTCGCCGCAAAAAAAAAAGAACAAACACAACAAAAACAAACACAAACAACGGTACATGGCAATAATAATTATCAAATTTACCAAAACTGATTTCAGGAACAGAAGATTTATGTTGCTCTTCCACTTGTGTTAGCCGTTGCTCTACAGATTCCTGTTCTGACTCCAGAGATTTTATCCTTTCTTTTGTACCAATCTGTTCATCTTGAAAGCTTTTCATTCTGCGTTTTAACCCTTTATTTTCCTTCTCAAGAACTGAGACGCGTTTTTCCAGTTCCTTCACATCAGCAGCAACATCTTGCAGTGCCCTTTTTACTGTCTCCCTGTCGCACTCCACCTCAAACACCAGCTTGTCGACATCAGTCATCAGCTTATTAATATGCTGTTGTACCATCCGCAACAATGCTGGATCCACAGAAGCATTCATGCACAGGGAAGGTCCTAGTATACAAATTGTGGTAAAAATGAGCCTGTCACAAATTCAAGAGAACTGGAAAGCGGGAGAAAAAGCCAAAGCGATTTCTTTACTTGCTGTTAATGCATGTATTTCTACCAAAGAGTGAGGGTTTCACTTTCCTCATTGCCCAGTTAGCCTTGCCCCTTCGCTATGAACAGATGACCATGCAGTATCATTGTAATTTGCATGTACTTACACGAAATTAATGTGCTGTTTTAAAGTACAGGGCTAAGTGATGAGTCTTTCGAAAGTTTTTAGGGAGCTTAAGCAACAACGACGCGACGATAGTAGTGAAAACATCGCCAAAAAAAATGGATTTGAGTCCTTTCAAACTTTTTTGTGTCTATTTGCACCTGCTCAGTTTGTCAATTGTAAGCGATTTTTCCTGTAGTTGAATTAGGGATTTTAAAGAGAGAACTTAGGAAAATTCGTCCTCATATGTTCACGTCCTCCATAACACGTCGCATTGGGAAGTTTCACGTAGTAGTCATGCGGGTGCACGTCAAGGAAAGTTTAATGTACTAAAATGCGCGATGCAAGTACAGAGGGCTGTTGTTTTGCTTATAAAACTAATTGTTTTTATGACGTTGTTGTCGTCGTCGTCCTTGCTTAAGCTCCCTAATGAATCCTCTACGTTATTGAAAATATTTTAAGAAAAAGCCACTGATAAAGCCAGGATTCACATCCACACTTAAAAATCTGCCACGTCTCTAAAATGCGGGTTAAATGGCTGTTATATGTACCTGTTGTCTCCCAGATGTCGAGACCGTCTAAGAGCTTTGTTTCCTCTGCAGCTGGCAGACCAAGAGCATTCACCAACCTTTTCATGTCTTGAAAGCACTGCTGAAACTTTGCAGGATCCCAGTCTTGGAATGCACAGTGCGCCCAGGCATTTCTATCTTGCCGAACATCATGTGCAGCACTCTGCGCAGCAAGAGAAAACACTGGAACTCTACCGAGCAAGTTTAGCACAGCAGAAGCATCACAGTGTTCATCAAACATTGTGAACTTGGCCATATAGTTCTCTACGTACAGCTTTGCATAGTCCACATGTGACATTATGCGGCAGTCAAATGCAGCATAATTAAACTTCCCATGAAGCTTGGGTACAGCATCATTGCCATTGACGTTATCATACTTCAGAAAAGTGGAACTCCATTTCTTCAGTCAACCAGTTGAGCTCTGAGAATCAATGCCATGACTGGTTTTAAGATTGACATAATCCTTTTGAACTTCCTTTTCTACAAAAGAGCGAATTTGGTCCACTAAGTCCTTCAGTGCAAGACCAAACACCATCCATCTTTTCTTGCTGTCATTAATGTTTCCTGGAGCACTGGTACGAAAATAATCAAAGACATGTTATGGCAAGTTGCTTCTCAAACTCATTAATAATTCACGAAGAGAAAACAAAGAAAGTTGTTACCACAAATTAAAAGAGGTTTGCAACAGCTTTTTCTACAAGTTGAAGTCATGTTGACCTCCTTTATGCAAAATTGTATTGTAGGTAACAAGTTAAAAGATGCACGAGATGAAAATAAAAAATTTAGCCAGAGAGGCAATTTTTATTTAATATGCAACTGACACATAAGAGCAGAATTTCATGTGTGTTGAAATGTTTAAAATATTATACGGATAAAAATGATTTTGTTGCACCACAAGGCACATGGTGCAGCTTTATCTTTTTCCATTGATATAAACCATTCATTGTATTCTTCCATGATTCAAACCACCATGTAAAAATAAAAACTGTTAACAGTAAACCTAAAAATTAGCAGACCCAGCAAATTTTTGTTGATATTCTCTTTCCATACCTGGTATATTAAATTGCATTCCATTATTTTAGCGCAAGAAAGGTCACATGATTTCCAGCTGCAAAGGATCTATTATTTGTCATTTGCGAGCCTATTCTTTCCCATTTTCAGACACCTCAAAGTTTGTCCACTAAAGGTGCATTACCTATCTTAATCCTTAACTTGCCAGGGTATTAATTGATATCAGATCTAATGTGCCTTGGTTTTGATAAAATTAATTACTTCTGGTAGCTATTATTAATAATAATGACAATTATACTAGAAATACATGAATCGCTGGACCTCGCGAAGGACAAGGAAGTTGAAAGGACAAGGACAAGGAAGTTGAAGGGGAAATCAGGCAATAAGGAAGAAAATTTATAAATGAAAAAACTTGAGCTACTGTATATAAACAAGAAACAAAACAAAACTACAATAACTAAAAAGAAGACTAAATGTAAAGAAAAAGAAAAAGAAAAGAAAAGGAGAGAAGAAAAAAAAAAAGGGTTTTGCCCAGAATCGAACGCGGGACCTTCCGCACGCCATGCCATTTTGTTACCACTATGCCACGTGAAACGCATTGTGAAAAAGTTGATAATATTTTATTAAAAGCCTTTTCCCAGTAGAACTTCCACAAGCGCGCCCAGTGTACAAAGTTGATCGAGCCCTACATCAATTCATAGATACTTGTCAGAAGAATGATTGCTATTTTGATGGTGGAAACCTAACATAAACACATTTCATCGCATTTAAAGAACAGATGCCCAACTATAAGCCGATACAGTTATAATTTATAAACTCGTCTGCGAGCAAATTGGGTTTTTTTACCTCGATTTTTGCTCATATCTTAAGGCTAATTATCCAAAATCACTTCCATTTGCTCTTAAAAGTACTTTTGCATTCAAAATTCAATTGCAAAAAGCACTTACTGATTCCTAAAACGACCACAAAAAAAACAAGGACTTTGGTCATTGATATGATGGGAATTAAATTGCCTTTAGTCGAATGTTGCCTGGAAACAAAAAATGCGCTGTGACGTCAAACTACGTACTGTATGACGTCATGGCAGACACAATGGGATATATACAAGTATAGATGGGTGCTGCGAGTTTGCAGCTCACTAGGATCCATGCACGGTCCATGCTGTGCGCACTTCAAGATTATAAACTCCCTTCACTTGGTGTGAGGAATTAATTAACACTTGGCTCTGCAGGGAAATCATACAGATATGGAGTTTCAGGGATGATCAATTACACTAATTCATCCTTGGGATATCTGGCTGAAACAATACCTACAAACAATGTAAAAAAAAATGTTGAAAGAAATTAGAGTGAACTTAATTAATACCTAGAACTTGACCCAGTTGCTGCTGCAGCTGCCATTGCTAACACACATAGTTTGTTGTTGATTTATTAGTACTGACTGTGCTTGATGTTTCCTTGTCCACTTGACTGGTTATTGGAATCTATCATTTTAAGGAAAAACCTCTGTCATTATTTCAGTTAAATTGCATGTTATAATAATAATAATAATAATAGAAAAATAGTATGCAATATTAATAGTAATATCTCTAAAGGAATTTGTAGGTTAAAAATAAAATATCTTTCATATACTTTTAAAACAAAGATGCACACCACTGCTGTGGCACAAAACCGTAATATCTTTTTTGATGTACATTGTGTGGTTTCAGAAAATATCCATGCCACCCCCACAGAAGGATTTGCCGTATGACCCTGCCCCCTCCCCTCCAGATTTTCCAAAAACAGCCCCCAAAATTTACCCGCCTCTGCTCCGGAATTTCCAAAATTTTCACACATCCCCCTGGAAGTATTGCTATCTCTCATTGAAGTGGACAAAGAGGTAATTTTTTGTTCACTACGATGCCAAGTTTTGTGAGTTTCATGTATTTTCTGTTGAATTTTTCAACAAATAAGTGAATTCCTTATTTGCTCAAGTCATGAAGAAATTGTTCAAAAAGTTCACACACAAATGAAATGCAAGGTCGCATGGGGAATATAACTGTACTTTTCTCTCACTGCGTTAAGAAGAAAGCAAAATGCATGAATGAGTATAAACAAAGAGATCAGGACCTCGTCGTGCAATAAGACAGTGCAAGTATCAAATTTTGTTCTACCAAATTTGCATATTTGAGTTTGCAGTAGCCTGTTCCAGGCGTTCAGATAGTAGAGCGAGGCGGTAAGTGGGGAGCGAGTGAAGTTGTACACCAGAAAAACAGTGGGGGGGGGGGGGATGGGCGGCGAGAGCGAGGTAACGCGTTCTCTCCCCCTTTCCCCCTCTAGTCTCCCCTCGTTTTTTTTTCGTGAATTTTTCTTACTTGCTTTACTATCTGAACGCCTGAAACAGGCTAAGTTTGCAGTAAAATTGCACTTCGCCGATTTCATTTATAAGAAAATTGTCATGCAAAGTTTGACATGCTGGAAAAGACTTGTGTACCTTCTTTGTTACATAGAGAAATAGTCAAGTGAAGAAGAAATGCAACCAATTAAAAAAGAAATTTTTTCACGTTTTGTGTTCTCGATATGCAAGTTAAGGAATATGAAAGTTTCATTCCGCTGGCTCATAAACTACAAAAGCGTAAATGATAAAAAATAATATTTTCGGGAAACTTGTTGAAAAAAAAAACTTAAGTATAATTGAATAAAACGGCATTGATACTGTTGATAATCGATTGATAATATGAAAGCGAAGATGGCTACAAAGGAGCAGAGATCCATAACTATTCATGATGCATTTGCAAACAAACTTTGTAAAGAGAGCTGGAGAATAACAGATCATTCAATGCGAATGGCTAGCGACGAAATTGTTTTGGGATGGAAACTCCGCTAAAATTTATCTTTGAACAGATACTGTAAAATTCTGAAATTAAGCCCCTGGGCTTATATTTTTCAAAGGCCCTTTTTGAGGGGCTTATTTTTGGAGGGGCTTATATTCGGAGGGGCTTATCTACAGAGGGAAATTTGCATTTCAAAATAGATTGGGCTAGCCGTATAGTTGGAAGGGAATTTACCACTTTTGCTTTGTTTTACTTCGTACTTGAGGGTAATTTCCAAGGACATTAGCCCCCCAGGGGCTTATATATGGAGGGGCAATTAATTTAAGATAAGTGCAATTTAACGGAGCGTTTTTTGCATTACGAGTTTGTGGGGCTTACATTTGGAGGGGCTTATTTTCGGAATTTTACAGTAGCTTCAGTTGCTCAAATGGTCGACAATTTCTTTTTTGAATGGATAACCCAAACCATTTGAACCGATAACAACTTTTTCAAATGGATAGCCCAAGCCATTCGAATGGATGACATTTTTTTCGAACAGATAGCCCAGCCCGCCAAGCCGCTCAAATGGATGACAAATTTTTTTTCACTGAGTTATTTTCCCCCGAGATGTTTAAACGGATACCAAATCCATTCTTAAACGGTAAACTGTAAGGAACGCTTTTGCGTAAGAGGTCATGCCTAGGGACTAACAAAATAATCATGTTCGCTATGTTCGTTAATCCTTATATTTAGTTAGCTCTTTAACTTTGGTCTTGTTTTGTATCTTTGCAAATGAATTGTCGTGGTAAATTTTTTTTGGTTTTTTTTGGTTTTTTTTTTCTGTTACTCTCTTACGTGTCACAATTAAAGGACCCTTGGGAAATATTTCCCTATGGTGCACCCCTCCTTCCCACTGGAAAATAAGGCAAATTTATCCCCCCCCCCCACTGGAAAATCCAATTCCTTCTGTGGGGGTGCTATGGATCTTTTCTGGAACCACACATTTTACTTAAAATGCCTATCCCACAGCTTTGAGGATTATACTGGTTTGTGTTAACAATAACATGAGTTAAATAATTAATAAAAAGAGTTTATTAAACTACCCTACAGGATTAATTCTAGCTGGCCCTCACCCACAACCCATAGCCTTCCCCGCTAAATTATCACTCTTCCAGCAGCCCCTCCCCTCAATACCCCGAGAAGACAATAGGCATCTTAACATTTACCGGTGGAAACGAGGCTGGAGTTGGCCTTGTTTTGAAACAACCCTATACCTGCTATATATTATGTAAATCATGTCGTTCTCTCAGTATTTTTAAAGCATAATTTTCAGAAGAAAAGGAAAGAGGTTTGTATCAAATCAAGGTCAATCTCAACATGCACTTTCACTTGAAGGCTAGGATGGTGGGCGCACAACCGTAATAAACCTTGTCACAGTTTTCGACGCCATCTTGACGAGTAGGCAAATGACTGTGAGCAATCACATGTACAGTGTT